GGCGCTTTAGTGCCCACGTTATACGCGGTATATCAAGAACAACCCTCTAGATATAATAATAATCCAAAAGTGTATATGAGGAACAGGAATACTGTCCCATTTACCGTTGTCGATAACAAATTCAATGAACGTGAGACGTGCGAGTTACTTAGTTGCCGGTTGAAATGCAATGCATAAGAGCTGCTGATTGACCTTGTTTTTCACAGTTCAAACTTTGAGGTGAATGAGGTCTAAATTTTTTGTTGATGCAAATATAATCTATCCGGTTCTCCGTGATGTTGTCCAGTGAGACCAATGCAGCTTTGTGTGTGGGTTTATATGGAAATATCGTGCCGCCTATACGCAGTTTGTTGAATGCATATAGGTTCGAGAATCTCTCGCCAATTTCGTTCTTTTCTCCTAATCCCTATCGTCCCGTGATATCTTCATAACCGTTGTTTTCCATCCTTACTTTGGAGTTCAAATCCCCCATCAGAATGGTCAGGTTCGTTCCTGAACATTTTGCCATAGTAGTTTGCAGCTTCAAGTAGAACTGATGTTTATTGTTATCTTTCCACCTATGGTAGGTGCATAACATTGGATGCCATTCCTTGTGATTCCCTCAGTTTGGGAAGGGCAGGAGGCCTTATGGCCTGTGTTAGTCCTGGCAATGGTGGTCTCTCATTTGGCACTAAGCAATTTGAAAACTGAAGTCAAGTCGTCTCTAGTTCTACAATATGACAACGGGAAAAGGTTTAGCTTGGCCAGTCGAACTTCATACGGAAGCTTCGCTATTCCGGGAATCAGCTTAGTTGCCGTTCTGTGAAACTTTTCCAGAAGCTCACTGTCTTTTGTATAACAGCCGGTTGTGCGGGACTTTGTCAAAAGCTTTGCTGAAATCAATGAAGGCGACGTCTACAGGTAACTCCTGGTCCTTGAGAAAGTACCAGCCTTCACGAGCCACCAATAAGTTAGTGATACAAGAGTAATTTATTCTGAAATCATGCTGTTTCTCCGAAAAATCCGGTTTTTATCGAGATACTTAAACAGCTCCTTCCGAATAATCTTTTCTAAGATTTTAACAACCACACTAGTTAGGCTAACGGGGCGGTAGTTCTCAGGTTTGTGTTTCGTGCCTGTTTTGAAGACAGGACTTACTATGGCGTTTTTCCAGTCTTTTGGTAAACAACCCTGGGTTACGGATAGGTTAAAGCTAATAGCTAAAGGGTTCGCAACGAAGTTAGATAGTTCCTTCAGTAGCCTAGGACGTAATTCGTCGGACCCCGTGGATTTACCTATGTCAAGCTTATTTAGTAGACCAAAGACATCGAGTTCTTTAATGGTCACGCTGTCCAGTGTATGCGTGGGGGGATCTGTATGCGCTGATGGGAAGGGTGCTTCTATGGTGTATACATTGCTAAAGTAGTTTGAGAACACTTGAGCCTTAACAAAGTCGTCCTCCACTAGTGACGCAGCAGTACTGTCTCCCCATAGAGCAGGAATATTTCCTCTTCTCTTTGTCCTTTGGTTTATATAGGAATACAAACGTTTAGGACATTCTATAGATTCCTTAACAATCTTTTCTTCGCACAACTTTCTAGACTTACGGAGGGTCGAGGCACAGGTATTCCGGACTTTTCTATACTGGGACTTAGTTTCGTCAGTCCCCAGTAACCTAAATCTATCCAACATTTTTCCTCTCTTACGGAGAAGGATGCGGACCTCCCTAGTGAACCATGGTGGGGAGTTTCTCGGTCCCCTTGGTATAGTCCAAGGGATGTGGGGTGTGGTAACTTTTAAGTATGAATTTCGAAATGCGTCCTAGGCCGTTTCAACTGAGGACTCTAGGTCCATTGTCCAATCTACTGACGATGCTGAGTGCATGTTATCTGGTATATTTGCTTTCCAGACGTTAGGTCTGGATTGGGCTGACGCGTGCTCGTGACTGACAGTTATATGCAAGTCGAAAATTAAAACTGTGACCACTTTTACCTAGGGGTGGCATGTAATAGAGGTTCGACACTTCATCCTCATAGTGAGTGAGTATCAGGTCTAGTAAGGATGATTCAGTGTCCGGGTCGTACCTAGTCGCTTCTTTCAGATGTTGTACAAGAGCACATATGATAACCGCATCAATTAGTTCCTGATCGAAGGAATTATCTGACGATTCAGTTCGCGGATTTTCCCAGTCTACCACTGATGCATTAAAGTCCCCTAGGATTAGACATCGACCACTTTGTGACCAAGTATTGAAACTGCTCAGCAGGACTTTATCTACCTCACAGCTTAGACTACGATAGACCAAACCCATCAGCAGCTCTTGTCCCTTGCATTTTAAGCGGAGACTAACTAATTCACACGTCCCACTCTCATGGGATACACTGTGGATAATGGCAAATGGGATAGCATTCTTAATGAATAGAGCTACTCCCCCTCTTTTACGTTTTTGTATTTTGTCGGCCCTGACTAACGTAAAGCCCTCGAAATCAAGTTCTATACTATCTATAGCCTGTGTCAGCCAGGTTTCTGTTACTGCGATTATATCTGGCTTTGTAGAGTCAATCTGTACACCTAGTTCCGATCGCTTATTAAGTAAGCTCCGGGAATTAGTGTAGCTGATCCGAAGCCTATTTAAGTGGCTTCGTGCTTCACCCAGAGTGGCTTCGGGATCATTCTCTGTCGAAGCCTTGCAACTCGAAAATTTACAATTTTTAGGACCTTTTCGCCAGCGTATAGCCTAATGTCATGCTCAAAACGAGCTTTTGGTTCAGAGCTCTCACTATCCTCGATTCTATGAAAAATAACTGATCTGTCGCTGTGATCAGCTTTCGATTTTTTGACTACTTTTACGGGGGCAGGATTCCCTTTTATATCGCTACGTTGTTTCTTCCTTACAACCTATACCCATTTGTCAACGGTGCTATGAAAAGCAACAACAGTTGCGTTAAACCTACTGTTGGATTCCGGAGGGTTGTCGACGACCTGGGAGGTCAGGTTATGTTTCTCGCTAGAAACCGATCGAGCCTAGCGATTGCGGCTTCTAGGCATTTCCTGATGGATGCCATTTGGAAGGCGGGGAATGGAAGAACCTACTTTTCTTGAGTTTTTGTTTAAGACAGACCTCTTTGGAGACTGTTTCTCCTTCTTTGATCGGTGTGAGTCACCTATTTTCGAACTAACCTGAGTTTACTTCATATCAATTTGCGTGTCGACAGAGCGAGTGCTGTTTGATGTGTCCCGACTACGCTTGCTGTAACACTTTTTCGCAGCATCTAGCAGTGCGATGGCCTCGGTCAACAAGCTGCTTTCATTCAAACAGCACTGTTCGCAAAGCCAAACGCAACCCTTTTTACTGAACCCTTTAGAAAGCCTCAGGCGTTAAATCCGAGCAAACTTCGTGGTACCAGCCTTCGTACTAATCGCACTGCATGCCGCTTTCAACGGGATAACGACAAATTGGACGTTGGCAACTACTTTTATTGCACTGTCCGGTCATTAAAAGGGGTCTTTTTCAGAAAAACAGCGAGATGCAATAATGCTCAGAGACAAAAAAGGTCTATAACCAAAAAAATTGGAGAACTGTAGATTGTTAGGTCTAAAAGTACTAACAGATACAGTAGAAAATAAGGTGCTCAAGAGTACCGACGATAAACTAATTCAGAAACAGTAAACGATATTCTAGTCGAATACATTAGCTGAAAGAAATTCAATTGAAGTGAAAACAGTAGTCTTGATACGCATTAAACGATCAAAACAAAATATACTCAGCGAGGAAAAACACCACTGTCCTTTTTATTAGCGCGCCAAATGTGTATTGTCAAATCGTATCTCCTCAGTCTCGTAGCTGTTCAACGGGTCCTTCCGGTCTCGCACTTTTTCCAGACATCCCATGTGTCTATGATAATCGTTCCTTTGGTCATTAAAAGGATCATCAGCCTCAAGACTTCCAAAGAATCTCGGCTTTAATCCTGAGGTGTCATATATCTTCCTCCAATCTCAGGGCAGATTCTAATTGGTTTAAATTGTTTGTTCTGGTTAGCATTTTCTAGCAAGATTGTTTTCTACGAGATGAAGTTGTCGGCTCCATGTCAGTCCTCCTGCTTCACCCGGGCTCGGGACTGACATCAGCCCTAGAAGAACTACAGGCGGAGTTAAAGTGTTTAAATTACTTCGTAATAAATTTGCATATGATATGCCACAATGTTTCTAGTTCTACAAAGCAGAGGACTAACGAGGACACTCTAAACCAGTTCACAGGATCAAGAAAAATTACTTGTCAGCTGAGTACCAAATTCCCCATCGGACCACCAACGGACGGAATTCCTCAATTCAAGATGTGTCTAAAGCTTCATCTGTTGACGTTTTCAAAAGGAAGTTGAATCAACCGAGAGATTAACATAGGCCACCCAGCCTTCTGTCCTCTTCAAACTGAAACTGATAATAGCCGTCAAATAGTTACCGGGAATTGAACTTTTAGGCGCGCTTTTCAAACGGGGAGTGTTAACCAGGGTTCTTCTCTGCTGGATTTGGTAATCACTCATGAGACTGAGGATATTGTCGACTTAAATATTCTTCCACCGTTAGTAAACAGTGATCACGCTGTTTTGTCATTCGCGTTTAGAACTAGGGACATGTTATACGATCAGGTTACACCGCGCCCAAATGTATGGAAAGCTAACATATCAGCCATTCAGGAATGCGCTGCTAAGACAGATTGGTTAGTAGATACTAGCATATCAGTTGAAGAAGCATGGTCTGTATTTAAAGGTAAATTTAGACTAGTTACGTCCCCGTTCATACCATACCTGGTACCGCGAAGACCGAATAATAGTCCACCATGGACAACTAAAACGGTCAGGAAACTCCTTAAAAAAAGGAAGAATCACTGGAATATGTTCATCTCTACTGGCTTAGAACAATACAGATCTAGTTATTGTAAGATTAGGAATGCCTGTAAAGCGTTAATAAGCAAGACTAGACATTCATACGAAAAAAAATTTTTGAAATTAGCGCTATGTAAGCTGAGGCAAGACCACAGGTAACTATTAAATATAGTGAAACTCAAAAAGAAGTAATCTACCGAACGTATAGCTCAGGACGGCAAGGTATAAACGGTAATCCCTTTCAAATCTGTCCGCCGTTTCGTTTCAACGACCTTGAACGCGCTGACTGGAAGCGGGCATTCCGTATTTCAATTGCCGTGTGTGTGTTGGGTCCTATGAGTATTAAATGTTTCCATATATAAGTCATCTTTTGATGCATAATAAACACTAAATAACTGCTAAGAGCATTAACTGAGTATTTTCTGTTTTGTAGTGCACACTTTAGCTCTGTTGTTCCTTCGAAACTTGATCTGTGGTCCTAAGTGCTGTAGTGAAAGTCAACAGCTATATATAATTTGTTGATAAGGTCCAGAAAACAACGTAAGAAAGATAAAATAACGTAAAAGGTTATAGATGCGCCTAGTTTTTGTGAGTTAAGACGAAATGTCAACTGAAGGGTAAGTCCTAAATATTTGTTGTTCTTCCTTCAGTTAATTTTTTTCAAGGAATAACCTTTTTTTAATAACTATTGTATGTTGTCTCTAGTGCTTCATGCTCAAGTGAAATTTCAGTGAACGTAAGCGACGCGTTCCAACGTATTATGCTGAACAAGAGATTCGGAAGCTGGATTAAAGTATGATAGGATAAACCTATGTTTTCTCAGATGACCCATACACACTATGTTCACGCAGAAAGTAGATTGTTGAAGGATGTGAGATATAAATACTTGTTCGTAGTGTTTCGTTGCACGTTTGGTCGTAAACGTAAATCAGAAGGTCTGAATGTGAATAAAAAACCGTGAGGACTCTAACTAATGTGTTACATTTAAGGTCTAAATTTTTAAATTGCCAATCGATGTTTCGCGTAAGATTGGAGGGTCAACAATACGTTATAAAATCTTACAACATGTCTCACAACCATCGGTGTACTAGTTCGTGGATGGTTTGTGATCCGTTGAGTAAACGATTGTCATCAGAAGAAAAAGAAAACTTGAAACCAGTTATATTGCACTGTCAGTCGACGGACGAAGTTATCGAAAGTATTAAGGAAAGAACAGGTAAGCAGGTGACCGCTGCTGATGTAAAAAATATGAAAGCTGAACTCTCCACTGGTAAGTGTATATAAATATATTTCAGGTTGGACTCGGAAGCAGGTATTGCAGATGATGCGACAAAACGGTGAAGTTAGAGAGCATGCAGAAAATGGATGTATTACGGCGATATGCTTCAGCAGTTATGATCAGATACGGCTGTACAGTCAATATCCCGAAGTCGTGTGTATTGATTCTACTTATAAAACTAATAATAAAAAGTGAATATGATTTTCGTTTTGTTCTACTATGTAGATATTCATTATTCCAGTTAGTGGTGACAGACAATTGGGGCCGAGGTCGAACTGTTATGTTTGCATGGACACAAAAAGAAAAGCGTGCCGATGTTACGTGGGTTTTGGATAAATTCAAGGAGATAATGGGTAACACGACCAAAACAGAAACATTTGTGATGGATTTCGCACGATCTGAAAGCGCGGCTGTCCGTATAACGCACGGGCATGCAAACATTATTTTGTGCGCCTTTCATTACGAAGTGGATGTAAGTATTTGTGAATGCAATTGTAGCACGTTTAATATGTGTCGATATCCGTGCCGCCATCTCCTGCTGGCATATATTAAAAGACGAAGTCTAACAGGTAAGCTATTTAAATTATAAAATATAAACTGCATAGCTCATCAACTTCTTAGGTGTTGCTGCAGATGGAAATTAGACAATACGCACAATTTACAAAACAACACAGGAATTTCATTACCGAGACGGAGTAAAGAATATATACAACTTCAACGGCTCCAAAGAATGTGCAAACAACAAATTGTTGAGAAATATGGTGAACGCTTCGCGAATCAGGTGGAGAGAAAAGTCTACAATTTTTACTTAAGAATTATAAACAGCTAGACAGCAGGTTTACGATTAACAGTTCTTTGTGGCTATTTATACAACTTGTAAACTTATCTTTCCACTTTAATAGTCATGAAAAATCAATAAACTTTTTCTCATTTTTTATTTTCGTCTTCTTCATACTTTCATGGGGAGGTTTACCAATCGCTTTAACGAATAATTGTGTGTGAAAATTAAGAATTTGTACTACTGTATTAGTTACGAACTGTCGTTAGAACTTAGCGTTATATCGTTGTTCATTGTGAGGAATCAACGAGTCAAATAAAACAATAATGCGACTTCCACGTAAAACCTTACAGACTAAACCGCCTTACATATTTTCCGTTGTCAGATTACGTCCATTATCAAGTTAGTATTAGTATGGAACTAGACAATTTCATGCAGCTAGTTCCTTGATAAGATGGATTACGTAATCCTTAGACCATCTTTCCACTCACACTTCTTTGCTAAATTATGTTAACTCTTCAGATTGTCTTCACTTATCTTATTAGTTCTTAATTCACTGATTTATTCATTACATCTAGAATTATCACACAATTTATCTTATATGCTTCTGAGCTTCACTCGACTATTACACCACCCATCCTTTATGTTCCCTTAAGTCTAACACCAAATGACCTTTGACCTGTTCAAGCATATACATATGTATAGTTATTATTGATAACCTAGGTCATTCCAATTCTTTGCTTTCTATTATCTTTCATACTATTTCTTCCCTCAATCTTAAATTATAATGCATATTCAGTTGTATGCAACTTATGAGAAACCACGAAATGTAATGCAGTCACATGATTCTGCGTCAATATTTGTTTTGGCTTTATTTAGACCATAATTATACAAACTTACAGGATTTATAATATAAAACACTGCGTATGGTTGTTATATTTATATTTAAATAATTCATTAGATGAATGAGCATAGCAGTAGGTAATATAAAACAGTTATCGTAAACTTGTAAACCGGTTTTCCACACGATCTTCCGTAATCCTAAATTCCATAAGCTTCATACTATTCTGAAAAACAACAAATCCGTTTTGAGACAAACAATTAAACTTTGTTCTCAGTATCATATTCAATAAGTTATTCAAATAGCAAGTAACAGACTGTGCCTATAAGTCTTTTATTAACAAGTAGTGACATTCATTCATAACTTCCTAAGTAACACAACAACTGTATTACCGAGACGGAGTGAAGAGTATATAATAACTCATTTGTGAACCCTATAACAGACACCTCACAAATCAGTATTAACTAAAAAACATGGTTGTGTCACCATTCTCACAAGAAACACCGATCGTTTTATTCATGAAGATTTTGTTCCTACTTGATGTGGTGTTATACACTATTACTGCAGACGTTCAGAAAGCCGCTGGACAACACTATAAACGTCAATTGTTACTCACATATTTCTTTTCTCAGATACGTTACATAATTATGTCACTTCAGTACAAAACAATGGTACCTCTAATAAATATAACTTTTTATGGCTAAATACAAGCAAGTTATATAATATTCACAATTAGGTTAACGCTTGATTGCTTCTACTTACATTTTATAAACAACTACCGACATCCATGTTCACCGTCACCGCAATCAAGGAGGTGAACCATATGTAAAAGATTTTACGGTTAATTTTCATTAAAACTCAATCTGTGGTGTATTTTTTGACTAGAAAAACGGTGAACTTTACTTGCTTGAGTTTGTATTGTTACAAATAACTATATTAAGCTAACTTCAGATTTACTTACGTGGTGAGCAAGAAATACGTCAAACTGCCAATAAATTGGAATAAAACTATGTTACAAGCACTAGCAATACAGAAATTGATGTGTCATGCAAAAAAGCCTGTTAATAGCTGATAAATAACGACACAAAAAATCCACGACAATATGTAACGTGTGCGCGAAAATCCCTGGCTTACCCGCTAGTCCGTGCCAACGTATTTGGATGCTCTTGCTTGAAAAGTACAATAATCAAAGAGAACTGGACTATGTAGTCGTACCTTGACTACTCCACAACAAATGACTCAACTTCAATGGGTATGAACATGGTCTGCTCCGCCTCTCTTCCTTTCTGTTTCTTACCCTCCTTTTCAGCCCCCTTGATATATACCACCGAAAACACATGTGAAACGCGTTACTTCGTCCTGCGCCATCGTTAATGCTTCAGCTGTTCCAGAAGGATATAAGATCGCAATTTCTAGAAGTTCTCGACTGTACGTGGATTTATTCTCGACCATCAGTTGCACGTCGCAACGCAAAATCCACAAAGCGCGCCAATCGTCATATTTACGAGTCTAATTAATATTATTTACATTCATATGTGAGAAGAATTATACCACTTTATAGTGAGACTTAGTTTTTGTTCAGTTTATGAAACAGAACAGTTGGGAGGTTATCTTTTTCAAACACACATAGTCTTTCGACATTCAACATAAAATAATAGGAAGTATAATCCCTACACAAAAGAAGGAAGTGAGTGAATACTTGTGCTGTAATGTTCTGACATTTCTAAGATATTTGGGTCCAACTATTAACCAACCGACCTAGGTTGTTCCAGATCTTAGATCGTGGTTTACTATCATATTCAGATTCTCGTGAAACATCTAATGTTACCAACGTCAGACACGTGCAGTAGCAATTTATCTTCGCATCTTCGGTGTACACATAAACACACTTAGTTGCTTTGATAGACACCAACCACCTTTCAGACCAGCCTACCGGATAGTCTTTGTTGGCCTGGAGTGTACATACATCTGCGTACCTCGTTACTCCTTGCCAAATTTCAACATCATCAGCACAACACAGCACCAGGGACTTAACCATACTCGGGAGTTCCTTTAAACATGGTGTAAAAGGTAAATGACCTAGAACATAGCCTATTGATACTCTACCAAGTACTGCATTCCAATGTGAGGGTTTGGCATTCATTTTTACTTCATGTTTACGACCTGCCGAAAACTCACCTATCCAATTTAGATTTCTTCCGTCGCATAATGTTCATTCAGTCTCACACAGAATATGCTTGATATGAACCAAGATGTTTGAGTTCGGATACATGCTGTAGTAAAGCATGTTCTAATACCGTCATCAGGAGCCTACTATGAAAAGAGTTTTCAGATCTTACGATGACCCTATCTGTCCAACTAATATCAGGAGCATTAAAATATCCCAATATCAGGCATCTGTTGTTTTTAATCTATTGCTCAACGTGCTCTGAGAAAAAGTCATCGGGTAAGCAGATTGAAATCTCTTTTCGAAACTACAAGCACTTTTATATAAGACTTCTAGAGAGAATGACATACCCACCCTAGTTTAGCTAGTTCCGTCTTTTTTATTCTGTCTGCCAGAGACATGTCGATCTTCCTCAATTGTCGATGTTTTTGTGAATCCGAGCCCTAATATACAAAAGACGTCGTTGTTCCTCTAACCCTAGGATTATCTTGAGGAGTCTATATGGTCGAAGTCCAACATTGTCGTTGGTCCCTTTACACACTATGACCAATTATTTGATATGAACTCCTTTAGAGTTGTCTGGTGAGATGCTACGAATCATTGCTCTGACCCTTTCTAAATCATGAGCAAGTGAATCAGGACAATTTGGTTCCAACAAATTATTTACAATAATATTCGATGAGATCAAGCTATCTCCAGCAACTTGGGGTTTAAGTCCAGTCTTGCTTTGGGACTTTGGTGGTGTATTCTGTGACTCAGAACTGGAGTCCATCAATGACTTATCAAAGGAACAGGCACTGTTCTTGGCTTCTTTCACTCATTTGTTTATTTTCACACTGTCTTCCACTTCTCGCCATTCTAGGCAGCCACACTAGTACTACATGGAACGGTGACAGTTCTATCTGGGTCTCCATGTATGCTTTGCATAGCTGACATGACGGTGGTTAGCAATATCGCTTATATGTGACTGGTATGATTCCGTTACACACTTTGTGATACTGTAGTGAACGCTACTCACAAGGATGTCTCTAAGAAGTGTGTAGCGGAACGCGATATGGAGGTCGCATTTACCATCGAACAGAATGAAGGGTTTCAGTGTGTCAAAAGCACGACGTTGGCAGAGCACTTGAAGGGTAGTCGTGAAGAAAGTTCAGATATCAGAAACCGCTGTAACATGCAAATAGACGATCAAAGGTTATGTATATGTATCACGTAAATACTTTGTAACCTCTCACAGTACATACGATGCTCTTACCTAATATTGTGTTTTACAATACCACTTATCAAGCACAGTAGTTTCGAAGCCAAAGAGTTAGAGTAAAACTTCAAAGCTCTGAGGCATGTGCCGGTTTGCCTTTCTGTTTTATCTTTCTGAGCCTAAATGAGCATCCCTTTGTATGCATTGAGGATGTGAGTTTGTTGTAGGTTGCTCTTCACGCGCAAAGATTGAATCTTGACGTTGAGTTGGGTTTTTTTCCCTTGCCGAGCATGTCTTGTGATAGTCTGTGTAAGTTATCTACCTCTAAAATTTTTATTTTTAATAGTGGGTCTTGAAGATGCCATGGATATGTTTCTGCAGTCAGTGGACTTGGTAATTTTAATGTTTTGTATAATCCTTCGTCCAGTCCAACGATATTGATATGGGTGAATTCGACTTTGCATTAAAAGCTTCAGAGCTCCTCGAAAACTCAGACAGTGATAGTGGAATAAGCGGTTTGTCTGTTTTTATGATAGTCATGTCTTCAAACAGTTGCAGGGGAAAAGCAACCAATAAACCAAGAAACTAATGTACGACCCAACGACACTGGTACTGATTATGTTCTGACTGATGTTGTCGATGCTACAACACGTGTGTCCGACATTTTGCATGCAAATGACAAACGTTGCGGGGTTCAGGTGAATGGTTTGTCAAAGAGCATACCTATCAATAAACCGGGCTCTAACTCTACTATTCCTAAATTTAAAAGGATTATTATCAACTCTGTTGGTGAAAAACGTCTACTACACAGCTCTTTGGTAAAGCCATACTTTTCAGCTTTCTATCCTCAGAGCGTAAATTCTGGTGTTGGTCACAATTTGGCTGTATCAAATGTATTGCAGCCGTCGGAGCATTCTGGTGTCACAGTAAAAACTGTGCCTTCTAGTGTTACTCCGTCGTTTGAGTCCTCAAACACATCTCCGGGATCTTCTGTGAATTCACCTACTAAATCAAGCATGGATTGCCGTTGTAAGTTCTATGCAGGACATGGATAAATATTTTGCCTAGACATTTAGGGCGATAATATTGTTTTATACAAAGAATGCTTTAAAAACATCTAAAACAAGTCACTTATAATTTAAAGGTGCCTTTGATTTCTAAGGTCACAATTCAAACCCCCTAAGTAACTACGAACAAGTTTTAATGAAATTAACTCACCATTTTATGGGCGAATTACATCTTGTTTGATACATGACGTGTTTTAACAAACTTAATATGGATCTTGTGAACCCATACTGGTGCTTATGAAATAACAAAAAGTTAAACCTGGTAAAGAGTTTCAGAGGGACTGATCGATCTCAGTTTCCCCCAATGCATATATATATATATATATATATATACTGAATAAAATGTCTTTAACAAGCCATTTTACTTTTAAATAAGAAATAAACAATATGTCATACCCCCCACTCGATAAGCTGTAAGAAATTTAGTTAATGTGTATTTAGTTCGAGTCCAATTATATCCGTTGTTTTCTGTCCTAAGTCCTATTTAGTCGTCTGGTATTCATGTAACTGAAGATGTAGGGTTACTGATTCACATACTTTCCATTGTAAAAGGTTTGATCCACCTAGAATGTACAACGAATAAAATCAGTAAGTGGTCAACACTATCTCAAAACCTTGAGAGCAGCAGAGTGAAATCCCACCTACAAGACACGAAATTTATGTACATTTGAATGCTGATCAGTACATATGTATTCAAAAATCCTATAAAGTGAATACTCCAATATGTTCTTTTTCTTTGGATTTGCCCTTAAGCTCCAGTTAGTCAGTCAGTCACAACGCAGAGCCTGTACTTATGTACATGCCCCCAAATGCCCTGGTACGGCCGAGAGTGGGGAGAGTCCGCTCCCCCTCTCGAAATGCTCTCACATGGCCACGCGTATATGACCTCTGCCAGGGAAGTCCTACTCACTGCCTTCTCGTGGCGGGTTGTTTACGAAAATGAGAGGATGAAAAGCTAATGTCCGGCGCTTTGACCGGAGTCCAAACCAATGGTGCACACAGGCTCCAGTATCCTGCGGGAACAAATGGCGTATGAACCACTCGTTGGTTACTGGCTTCCATGGGACTGCATCTCCTCACGATGCCCCACTGCCTTGTGGGTTAGACATTTAGGTCAAAGGTTCGGGGTGTGGCCCCCCTATGGAAACCACCTGCTTCGGTTTGGGCACCCGGCAGTATCACAGCCTTCACACATATCGGATGAGATTTGTGTGGCGCATATGTATTTGGTGCCTCTTTGTACCAATATCTGTGTTGAAATAAATAAACTTATGTACATCGGTTCATTTCGCCGTAAACCATTAGTACACCGAGGTGAAGTGGTCAGGTCGAATCCCAGAATAGTAGAGGTAGTAACAGTATCAATGGTAATTGGAAACATTCGGTATCGAAGAAACAACTCGAAAATATAACTTAGTGAAATAAAAAGAAATAAGGTTCTGAGGAATTTAGAATCTTACAATTTAGGTGGACGGAAAATGGATCCACTTGCGCCATTGCAAGCGACTTTGAGCCATGTCATTTAAAGTTTCTATCCATTAGTTGCGATAATTACGCGGACCCCAGCAAGGTTGTTTGTGCCTACTAACGTATCGAAATCCAACTGTCAGTGGCTTCGTAGACTGATGCCTTGGTTTGGCCACTCCTAGTTGAGCTCCAACTAAATATCAGGTTACAATGCAAGTTAAGACTATTGAAATAATACCATTACAATATTCTACAGTGGTTACTACTAGAAGATTTCTGTCTTTACCACCCCAAGCATGTAATTTTTAACTGTTACGTTACACTCCCAAGACCAACTTCATTTGGAAGCCAGTGACCAACAATTGGTTCATACGCCACTTGTTCCCGCAGGATACTGGAGCCATACCAGGGCATTTGGGGGTATTAATGTTTAACTTCAGTCAAATCACGATTCTGCCCAACCCTTATTCATTACCTGCGGTTATTAAATATCTTACACCCGGCACGGTTAAACTTCACTGTTCACCTCTCCGCACTAGAACTCCTCGATTTGCATTCCGAAGCTGGCTGGTTGTTCCAGAGGTTGATCGTTCACACACAAGACCACAGGTCCTGGGCTGGGATCCCAGATACGTGGTTGTAGATGCGAACTGCTTAGGAGTCCCATGTCACGACGAAATGGCTGTTCATTGCTTTCAATAGCTCAGTAGTAGTCTGGTTATAACCAGTTCATGATTTAAACTGGAAATTTTATAATTTTCACAAATGGCCTAAACGCAATTTTGTCAAGTCCACTTACTTTTGCGTTATGTTATTGTGAGTCAGTTAAAGAGGGAACCTAAACATCATATGGATATTTTACAAGATGTCTCTGTCGGAAATCAGGCAATGCATACGTAGTTGGAGTGGTTATTTAACCCCGTCCTTAAGGTTTTCTATTTCCTAGACGACTAGCTACGCTATTCTGTTTAAAATACTTAACATGTACTATTATCTTTTCTTATAAGCATTAGACGAGTTTTTTTCCGCAGTAAATGGGGTAACTGAAACTTATGAATACTGTAGGAACGCGACTCCTTCAGATCCTTCACTATGGCAGCATTCAGTAAGTTTTCCATTTTTTACAGTTTGTTACTTTTAGTAAATTTGAAATATTCAATATTAAAATTGCTTAGGAGAAAGACATTTTAGTTATCCCCTCTCGCTCTACTGTTTTAATATAGAAACTTGTAGTTAAGGAATTCAAGGAAAGAGATAAAAATGCATTTTTTCTAAATTTCTCGTTGGCTAATTTAATATTTAGTATGTTACATTTATTGTTACTTAATTATTTCTGTGTATTGAAAAACTGCAGTTGTCGAAATATATTCATACGACCTCTCACTTCGTTTTCTTATGAAATTGGAAACGTGCGATAATGCATAACATAACAAATAAATTCACTTAAAATCTTTAAAATATTCCTCATCCGTAGACTATGTTACTTCGAATCGACATATTACAATTTAGTTCTATCTTATCTTTTTGTTTACTTACTACCATGTGTTCTTAAACCATAAAAACGAAATATCATCAGCATCAAGCTTTTTAAAATCCAAATCTAGTTTAGTAAGATAAATAAATTGCTTATAACTTAACAAATGTAGGTAGCTTCGGTGTTGTTTAATTTCATCTCTTAGCGAGTGTGAATATAGACTAAGTTTATATAACAGCTATTTTATAATTACTATTCTGCTCGTTTGTCAGTAGAAATTTTAAACTAAATGACAGTAGTTTTTAGATGGATAAGTCTTAGCAACTTCAAACGTTTTAGTTCTTTCAGTTTAAAGTAATAGCTATAAATTCCCGAGAGTTGATTACGCAATAATATGATTTTCGTGACTGGTAATATGTTTAAAGTTTGATATTTGTTGGTTTGTAAAAGTTTTCAGACTATTTTCAGTAGAATTTTAGGTGATTCTGGTGTGGAATTTGTAGTTATACCGGAAAACTGGTAAACAGGTTTTAATTTATGTGACTATTATAATTACCACTGATATACTTATTGATAGCTTACATTTTCTATTTTATCAGATTTATCTTGGAAGTTAGTTCCCAAATGTATGTGCTTGTGTGAATAGTGTCCATTTTTCCATGCAAATTTCCAGATGTTTACTCTTGGCCAAAAGTATTATATTTCAATATTTATTTCATCTGTTTATTTCAGTGAACAAAGCTAATATTGAATTTCTGGTAATAGTTGTCCACAGATCCATTAATCGCTTTCTAATGTTTGGTCTTATATCACTACCAACTAAGGTAACTGGTAGTAAAGAGTTTCGATACTAACATAGATTACTCAAAAATTCATTAACATAGATCTAGTTAGTTCGTCCTTAAGTTCGTAGAAATAATCAAGTAGTTACTGAAAGCTCATGTTTAGATGAACATCTATTTCTTCACACCGTTATTTTACAATACTGACAATAAAGTAATCCTATCAACGCTACTAGTTAACGGTTGCTATGACTATGTAAGTCGAAGTTGATCTATGATTTGGACGAAATCCTTGTGTGGTGTCTGTTTGCAAGATACAAATCTATGTTCTCTTTACTGTAGTTATTTCCTTGTATTCATCAGGGCTCCTCATCACTTATTTTTTTACAGAAAAATATCCCGAGCACATCATATCGTGATTCTGTTTTCGGGAGTAGTTCTCAATTCTCACCAACGTCATTTCTTGATGTGCAAGATTTTTCGGGACCTAACGAATCCATCATAACACAGACCGACTTGGAACGCATACGTAAAAAGCAAGAAAGAATGGTGAAAAATAGACAAGCAGCATGTCTAAGCCGGTTACGTAAGAAGGAGGTAATTAACCTTGTACTATGTTTATACTTTATAGTATTGAAATTCCAGATAATTTGAGTGTGTTCGGATTTTAATCCTACTGATCATTATCACTTCTAAGTAATTATCAGTTCTAGTTATTATGGCTGGAACGGTTTCGCAAAACTAGTAATTTTTATGAATCCAAAAATGCATTGTGCTCAAACTGGGCTGATGAACATAAGGGTCCGCCTACAACAATTGAAAAACCGTTTTTCCAAGTCAGTGGTGTACATAAGCTTTAGGGTTCTAAATGAACGAGTAGTGTACAAGCTTATTCCGGTCACAGACTACCATGCCATTGCTTCTTTTGGTATTTCTATAGTGCCTCGATGACTATACTTTTAATCCAGATGCCTACGCAATGATTGTGAACACTGGTGAGTAGCGAAAGCAAGAGTGATGAAAAAGGCAGCGGCAATAGGTAACAACAGACAACTGTTCAGACTTGTCAAGGAAATTGGTATTAGGAATCCAATTGTTAGCGAAAATATATCAGGAAAAGACGTACATATTATTCAATTTCAATTCAGGTGACTGGATCGATGGGCAGAATACTTTAGGGATCAGTTCAACTGGCCTTCAGTCACATTTCGGTTTCCCACGATCTCCAGTCAACCTGAATGGCAAGTTGATGTAGGTCCTCCGTCTCTTTACGAAGTTGAAAAAGCCATAGGAAATCTGAAGCAAGGGATAGCAGCAGCCCCTGACAGGTTTACTCCTGAGATTTTTAATGATGGTGGTCCAGTATTAGCAATGAGATTAACCGAGGTCTTAGGTAGAATTTGGAAATCGGACGTAATCCCATCTGACTGGTCTCAATCACCGATTGTGCTAGTCTATAAGAAAGGACGAAAGTCCTCTTGTGACAGTTACAGAGGAGTCAGTTTGACTAATATAGTGTCTAAAATATTAGCTTCAATAATACTTCGACGCCTAACTAAAACTCGTTAAGAGCAGACTAGAGAAAACCAGGTTTCCTACTTGGACGTGGTTGTATAGACCAGATATTCACACTACTTCGGGTCCTAGAACACAGACACATATTCAGACGCCCCACAATGGTAGTATTTCTCGACCTTAAGGCGGCATTCGACTCTATTGATCGTGAGGTTCTATGGCAGAGTTTGACACTGAAAGAAGTACATTAATCTTATAAAGGTCTCTATTCGAACGCAACTAGTCGAGTGAGGGCTTATGGCGAACTGTCATCAGAATTGATCACCTCAAGTGGTGTTCGTCAGGGCTGTCTACTCTCACCATTCTTGTTTAACTTTGCCATTGACGTGCTTTTAGAGATAACATTTTCCTCATCTAAATTTCCAGGAGTTGTACTTTCGCCGGGAGATTCACTTGTTGACTTAGAATATGCAGATGACATAGTTCTATTTGGTGAAGACGCTGACAAAATACAGAGTCTTCTGACCACTTTAAGCAACAATGCAAGCATGTTCGGGATGCGATTCTCCCTCTCGAAATGCAAAATGTTACTTCAGGATTGGGTTGCATCGACACCTGAACTAATGACAGGGAGTGAAGTGGTTGAGCGTGTCGACCACTTCCCTTATCTTGGGAGTCTCGTCAGCCCTTGTGGTCTGGTGTGTGACGAAATCTCAGCACGGATACAGAAGGCTCGACTAGATTTTACCAACTTGCGTCATTTATGGCGTAGGCGAGATATCCGTCTATCAACCAAAGGACGTGTTTACTGTGCAGCAGTTCGTTCCGTCCTAATTTATGGCAGTGAAACATGGCTGATAAGAATAGAGGATATCCGTAGGTTACTAGTATTCGATCATAGGTGTCTTCGAAATATTGTTCGTATATCCTGGGACCATCGAGTAAGTAATGTAGTTGTTAGGAAACGGGTACTAGGTAAGGATGGCAAATCAATTGATGACGTAGTGAAACTTCATCAGTTGAGATGGCTGGGATATGTGTTACGTATGTTCAACCACCGACTGTCCCGACGAGCGATGTTTTATGGTGTAGGAATAGGTTGAAAGAAATCTAGGGGCGGTCAGACCAAAACATGGCACAAATCCATGAAGTCACTGACAAGTGGACTGAACCGTGTTGGTAGTTGTAGACTACTTGGTTGGGATACGCGAGACGATAGCAACCGATGGTTAGAGACCTTGAATGACATGGCTCAAAATTGTCTGCAATGGCGCAAGTGCATCCACTCTTTGTGTTCTCCCAAATTCTAATCTTCTGAATTCTTCATGTCCCTTTCTCTTTTCTCTTTCCAAATTTATTTCACTGAATTATACTCCTTGAATAACATCTTCAAACCCTGATCTTTCCAATGACGGCTTAAACTTTTACTACCTCTACCACTATGGGATTTGAATAGACAATCGTGTCTCTGTGCTAATATGGTATGGTAACTTGAACTGATGTACGTACGTACGAAGTTCTACGTTGTTATTAACCGACTGACTGACTATCAGTTTATGGTGATTTTCGTACACTCAACTTCAACGTATCTTAGCTGTGCTGAATTATCCACAATGTATTCTATTCATGTATTTTCTGTGTATTTTAGGTCATAATTAGTTAGTTGATTCCCAATCCATTTTTTCTTGTCGTAATTAATTCACTGTGATTCTATGTTCAATAACAATTATTCATTTGGGAAAATCCTATAATTGATATTTATTGCGTCGTTATGTGATTGAATTAACTGGAATGTAGATTAATGCTTCTGGGGTATCATTCAAGAAAGTTTCTATACAAACTATACTTCATACCCCGGTTGGGGAAAAGAGAAAAAGAGGGTAAAAGTAGTTTCCTTCACCTTATTGAAGTTTCAGTTGCACAGTAGTAGCTTATTTCATGAAAGTATCACTCTTATTTCACAATATTATCACTTCATTTTGCTATTTCTGAAGAGATTATAAAATCGGCGAACGGAACGAAGAATCAGCGACACAATGAAAAGACGGCTTAGCTATTCTAATGCGTCCCAGCCCCGCTAACTAGAGGGAGGAGTTTAGGTTCAGATGAGGGAAAGTATATTCTACAAGCAGTTAGAAGCACGAACAAAAACAAGCGCACAACTCAAGCGTATATATACAGCATAGAAATCTCCCTGGGAATCGTCACAAAATAACATGTTTAAAGAGAAAACCAACCAATTACATTTAGGGTCCTCCTAGGTGGGTAATACAATCTGAAGGTAAAAATGGACACCTTTAGTGCGAAAACTAGAAATTCGGATTTCCAAAATAAAATTACAAAAATAAGACGTTTACTAAGTGAGTTCTGGGGATCTAACATCCCCGACACATTCGGATGGTGCATTATTTTAACACCTCATTGTACCAGGATTTATTTAAGTTAGGTAACCTTACTGGTTATCAGTTACGGTGGAGCTGTTGCATTCATATCGTTTTTTGTTCAAATTTTTAGTTTAGTCTCATTCCGTATTTCCTATCTTTCGATTTTATTCCTTCCTTTCAAATTATATTTCCTATATTTCACTTCTCATTGTAATTTACGTGATCTTCACTTCATCACAGTGGAGGAATTTGACATAATAAAGACCACTTTATTGCGCTAGCTAAAGACTGGAAAATTTTTAGATGCATTGCTTGTTATTTTGGAACGTCATTTTGTGAAACCGCTTTGTACCAGATTGGAGCTCCAAATCATGATTTCCATTTTATCGTCTTTTTTAATTATAAACAAGCCCATTGTTTATGCACCCGAATTTCAGTCATGGATGCCCATCCACCTTCTGTTTTTAGTACCTAGAAAGGTTAGAAATGAAGTTCGAGCAGCTAAAACGTGAAAACCTTTTACTTTGGCGCCAGAATGAAGAGTGGCGTGCACGATGTTTCCGTTTGGAACGTTGTATTGAAGATTTACAGTCACGGCTTCCAAGCTCTATACATTCAGAAAACCTAATTGTTAAATCTCAGTCGTTTGACGTAAGTTCAGACGAGACGACAAATATTTCTTCACACCTTGACAAACAAATTACTCCTCGAGAGGCTTGTTGCAAAACAGTTTCTGTGCACACATTAGCACCACTCAATGAAGTCACTGTTGGTTTCAAATCAGATACTCCACTTAGTCGTCTTCCAAGGTTGTCTGATCTTGGAAAAAGCAAGACAGTTTCAATTCAGCATTTAAAAAATTGCCAAAACGTAGCTCCCACTCAAAAAACGAGTAAGTTTTACTATTTAAAGAATCAGATTTTATTTCCACGGACATTTTCCATATAAAAGCTTTTAGTGATCTTATTTTGTTTATTATTTAGCTTTAAGACACTTATTTCGTGCCTTCGGTGATTGAGAAGCACTATAACATCCAAAATAGCCTCCTTCAAATTACCTTGGAGTTCATCACATCACACACATAACATATTAACCGATATTTCATATCTGCCAACATTTTTTATCCAGATTAGATTTACCTGTAAACACAATTCGGGAAAGTAATTTATTTGTGCGATTTTGACTTATTAGAAAATCTATATCAATAAAGAGTACGTCAGCGCAATATCACTATTTAAGACTGCTGTTGATGGAGGAGCATTCACCGTCCACTGTGTATAGGTGATATATATATATATATATTCATTCCGCAGAAATATTGAAGTAATAATGTTACATCTACCTACAATCAGCTATATTCATAGATATGTATAATGTCCGGGTATTGTATTACGTTGAAAGTCAAATCTTTTTTCCCTAATTCTTGTTTCAGCCTACTTTACGAGTGTAAATTCCCCAAGAACGTTCAAATGGGATAGTTCTTCAAAGAAATTGTTACTTACAAGTAAAGTTGATGTTGAATCGCATTCACAGTCTCTATCACATCAGTCTCAACTCAAATCAATTACTAAAACCTTGATTTCTCCTCAGCGAATCGTTCCTACCGTCAGTCATCGATCTAAAGTAATTGCTACCACAAGTTTATTGGTTATGTGCGGTCTGTTAGCCGTGAATATAGTTCCTTTATCAGATTTATATTCTGGATTAGGATTCGTATCTTCACATAGCATGTCTTATGATGGTGGCTCCCTTGCTGCTGGAAAATTTGGTAATTTTTATTGCTAAAAATAAATTGTTTGTAACCCCTATTAGAAATGTGTATGTAATTTGTTATAGAAATTATATTTGTAAAACTATCAAAACCTTCGTAAATTTTCTTCATATTTTTCATATATATATATATATATATATATATATATATATATATATATATATATATATATATATATATATATATATATATATATATATATATATATATATATATATATATATATATATATATATATATATATATATATATATATATATATAAACCAAATTTGCAATATCATCCTATCACTTAAAAGATGATATGTCCGTATATAGACGATGCGGTGCAAGAAAATTTCCATTCGATTGTGTTGTTATCTAAAGCTGTGGAGTCATTAGCAGTTATCTGACACAATTAGTAGGATGTTGTAAAATAGGAGTTACATCATTAACTAAGTGTTGTAAAGCTCAACAAAAATAGTTGCGTAATGGTTTGGACGTTGACCTGGGAGCTGGAAATAGGTCTAGTCGTAATACAATAAGATAATATGCATAGCATAAATGACCCAAAGAACAAACGAGTAGATGTTAATAGCGATTTACCAAGTATAAGTATTCAGCAGTGCGGTCAAACGAATAATCAAGCAAAATAACTGTAAACTTCACAAACTAGCATGGTAATGATACATCTACGTGAAATTCAACTGCCCTGTGTTATCACACATTCTTCGAAACAGTATAGCAACTTGAATTCTGTACTATTTTCTAGCCGGAATAAGAATTTACTAAAAATTCGTCTCAATAATATATATCAACGATTCGCTCTAGTTGCTGGCGTGAACGATTTGTCTTCTAGCTAAGTCATTCCGGATGCGCTCAACTTCAGACAAGAGGAAGGATCATCCTGTATTTAAGTAAATGAAATCATTGAAAAGAAAATTTTCGTGACTGAATTGTCTTCGATTCTTTTCCAGTTTGGTCTGACTATCATTATCTTTTTCCTGAATAGCTTTTTGCGTACTCTATAATATTCAAGGGTATTGGAAAGTGTTATAATAATATCACTGGGTGAAAACTGTTGATTTCAATCGTAACCTCTAGTCCTTAAATCATTACAATCTGTTAAGCTTGTTCCTCTGGATGCAGTTATTTCTTGTCGTCAACTATTTACTAATGGATTTCGTTGGTTGTTTTTACGACTTCTCGGTGTTTAGTTTATTACCTTTTCTGTTTTTCAAAAATTTAGCTTTTGGTTATCCCGGGCTATGGTCATCTGTGCCACATTTTCCAACTGGGCGACGGCTTTTATTAAATATTCCACCTACACAAGAAGATGTTTTAACAAATGATAATTCACTGCAGAACGCCTCAAATAATGAATTTCTATTTTCTGGAAAATTTCCAACTAACCATTCTACTAACAACTGTGGTCCTAATAAAAACATGAGTTGCGCAGAGAATTCCTTACTTACGGATTCCAGACAAATTTTTCAAGTTAGTTGCCATTCTGATTTATTGTTATTACTCTGTAGATATGAATTGAAAGCTTGTTCATATGATTTTGTTTTTTCTTTGTTATTCATATTTCATCCAAATTTTTTTACTGCTTATAAATGTTAGTCTGCAATCATCGTTGTTCATATTTCTCATGTGGACTTACGTTATTCCTACAAATTTCAAATACTAGTCGTCAGTGTAAACGTTACTGACATGCCAGTCCTACTGTTTTTCCTTATCCTAAATTGCAATTTTCCTACTCCGCTGTTGTCAACATTGGACTTAAAAGAAACCTTTTTACAACTATTATGATAGATATTAATATAATATAAAAATTCATTCAATCCATTCTTCTATAGTATTCGCTACCTCGAAGTGGTGGTCGGGCTTGTCTATCGTAATGAACCGACCGAATTTATATATCTAAGATAGGGTCTGGGATATGAATGTAATCCCATCTGACTGGTTTCGATCTCTGTTCTTGCCAGCCCACAATAAACTACAACGCTCTCCTTGTGATAACCACAAAACAATCAGTTTAACTAATATAATTTCTAAAGCATTAGCCTCAATAGTCATCCAACGTTCAATTAGGGCTTGTGAAGTGCGAATTCGGAAAAAACCAGGCTGGTCTCAGACCTCGGTAGGGATACGTAGACCAGATATTTCCCTCCTGTCATTTTCTGAAACACAAACATACCTACCGACCCTCATCCTCAGTTTTATTTCTGGACTCCGTAAATTGTTAAGTCTTATGTCAAAGTTTATCATTGAAATTCTTATACTCGAACATCACTGGTCGGGTGAGAACACATAACGAAGTGTCTCTGAAATTTATTACTTCACGTGGTATTCATCGGGGTTGTCTACTTTCCTCACTTTTATTGAGATTTGTCACAGAAATTCTTTTTCGAGATGGAAATCTTATGATTTGATTTGTCAGGAATCAGTCTTCTACCAGAAAATTCACTTATTGACTTGGAATATGCAGATGATATAGTCCTGTTTAATGAACAGGTTAAAAAAAGCTTTATTCTGATTACCTTGAGTAACAACCGTATCAGGATGCGTTTTCCTCCTAAATCCAAAGTGTTACTTCATGTATGGTTTCGGTCCACGCCTGAACCAATGCTAATGAGTGAAGTTGTTGAGCGCGTCGATCACTTATCTTAGAAGTCTTATCACTCAGCGGGTTGGTGTCTGATAAAATCACAGCACGAATCAAGAAAGCTCATCAGCTTTTTCCACTTATGATGTAATTGAGATACCATTTTCTATTACCACTAATACTGTTACTACCTCTACTACTGTGGGACTTTACCTAACACCTTAGTCTCGTGCTAATGGATTATATCAACTTGAAGCAATATAAACAGTGCCATGTTCTACTTTGTATATAAATAACTGAACAATTAATTGGTAACTGCGAATATTAGGATTCATCTATTCTCCTTGAATTTCGCGCTTTTTCCTTAATCACTCATCTTTATTTTCATAAGACGTCTTATATATAGTTGTTTATCTGACGTTTTAGGGTTGGATTAAAAGGCATGCTGTATCTACCAGTAATCAGTCCCGTGTATACAGGTTACTACTCACTTCATCTCTTCATAGTCTAAACGCGTTTGAACACCGACAACATATAGTCAGTTCATCAAAACTTTCACAACAAAATGTATTACATACTCAAAAACCTGCTTTCTTACCTACGAAACATTTAAATAATTCATCTTCCAAATCGATTTCGCCGTCAAGAAATGAGTCATTAGAACGCTTTTCGGCTAGGAAAATTAACGGTTCTATTCTGAATGTTACAACTGAATCATTACCGCCCAACTTTCCTCCACCTCATCGTCCTCCAATATTGAAAAAATATGATTTGCAGGTACTTCATTTTATACATAAATCCCATTTGTGATTATTCCTCTTATCTTGCATAAATAAAAACGTTCTGTTACAGTAGCTCATGATCACTGTTATATTTCAGTAAATTATTGTCAATACATTAAGAATAGGCGATTCGATTAAAATACTGTTATATAGAAGCTTCTAAACAGTAGTCACTTAGGGTCAACATTAGTATTAATTCGGTAAATATAGTAATATGTTAACTGCAAATTGACATGTTAAACTTTCTAACTGCTTGAATAACAGTTGCTTTAGTTATGAGTATACTCTTCTAGTAGTCTTCTTCGATTAATATTTTTTAAATTAGAATTGTTATGCATTATCGTCATCTCAGAAAAGAGTGTTTTTGGCCTGTAAAATAAAACAAGGTTACATTATTAGCTGTCAATTTCCTTTTCAAATTTAATAAAAAGGGATAATTCATATTGTGGTTTTAGTTACTTTAGTGAGATTTTTGTAATCACATGGTCCGTTTATACAAGCATCTGGTTGCTAGTCATTATAAGCCAGTCATAAAAAAGTCAAACGAGATATTAAGTCATACGTGTTTATCGCTTCTAAATACTGATTCGCGTGTATTTCAAGTTATTTGATCCTTTTATATTATCGTGTATAGTTGTAGGCTAACGTTTTACGGTTATCTTATACTGAATAAAATAGAAAAGTGCAAAATGAGTGAAACAAGTATTCCATACCAATAATTTCGTAATGAATGCTCATAGTTTTAGACGGGACTAATGTTTTTAAGGCCTAGGATGAATACAATCCTAATTCAAATCTAGGGAGAGTTAACAGTGTCTTTTCCGTTTGTTTAGACACCTGTTTGTCTTTTAAAAATTATAATGATTTTCTAAAAATTCACTAATAGCAAATATATTCTTCCGCAAATTTGTTGATTTGTTTTGTTCAACGTAGACGCATTTCTACCATCGAATCTCGTATTGAAATTGTTTCATTCATCCTCTTTTGTAACTGCTTACTCATCAATCACTTCCCACATCATCTCAAATTATTTAGGATAATATCAATGAATCTGATGTATGTTGTCTTTGAAAGTTCTCTTTCACTAACCACTAATTGTCCCTTGAATGTTTCATTTAACTACTTTCGGTTTCCTAATGAGTTTGTTTAAAGTATGATTTCATGAACAATTTGAATGCTTTGTTAATTGTTGATTATGAAGCCTGTTTTGTTAATCAGTTTTTTTAGTTTGTGCTTTATGATGTATCTTCGGTTTCCGAATCTTTAAATCATCACTGGGTTTGTGTTTGTGTATAGTTTTTGTTAACTTCTACAAACATAATCAACATATAGTTATGAAGGGAAAAGTTTCATCTAAGCGCCATTTGGTATTGTCTAGTAGAAAGTTATTGGCCAGAATTATACAATAATTATTACGTGGTTCGGTAGACATGAAATAAGCTCATTTTAGCTGTCGAGAGCATGGTTCGAGCTCCGCATCACGTACTTCGGGTTAGCTCACACACTTAGAGTATAGATCAGTGAACCAGTTTATTTAATTAACTTAAATTTACCGGATTATAAACATGAACCAACATTATCGATCACGCTTCATCAGTTCAACTGATCCATATGTGTTCCGAAGTATTGTTTTTCTGTCTGTGATCCTGAAATTTCGCCACTGTCTATTCCATACTACAGACTTCATTTTAGCTCATTTCAAATTCTGTTTTTTTTCTATTAGGGTTTAAATCAACTCATCTCTAACAATAAATCACATATAATACCAAGTATAAGTGTCAGAACTTACAAATAACAAAACATAATGTCGACATAAATTACACAAAACATTTCTATTCCTATTTGTATAAGTATGTCATGTAATTTCCGAGAGTATTAAACATATAGTGAAAAAGCTAAATGGGATCTCGTTTTTGGATTTTAGCTATATTCATGTACAGTGAGTAAAACTAAGCGAAAAAGTCATTCATTTTATTGTTTTTCTTCAAAAAAATATGCATTTATTCCTTCAATAACGTCACACAGCTATGTGTCCCTGGAATCAGAATTAGTTCACATTTAAGTACAGTTTTTTTCGTTTTTTCTCAACTTTATATTTCAACTGTTTAGGATTTCATCTGATTTCATTGCCATTCTTATCACCAGCAGTCATATGCATTACATTAATGTTAGTTCCGTTTATCTCAATCTAAGGTTTTTACATTTCAACTTTTTTCCGTATTTTTCTACATTTATATGTAAATGAACACTTACTCAATGAAAATACAATAAGTGAATTCTAAATTGTGATAGCAAAATGAAAATAATTGTAAAACTGTGATGAGAATGAATTTATCGTTTATACAAACGGTCTGATAACACCAGTGTGCAATAGTTTTTAACTTAGAAGTGATTCATGCTGTTTTGTGTCTTTTACTGGATTTTTATTTATATACAAATGTTGAATCTTCTTGATCGATTTCATTATATAAAAGAAGTTTTCTATACGGTTTTTGTTCTAATATAGTCATTGAGTATAACACCTTTTAAAAAAACTATACTTCATATAGTCTAATCTTATCACCTAAGTATACAAACATAATGCGTGCATTGAAAGCTACAACCAAGTTTTTGCTTTTTACACTAATTTATAAGGTTGCTTTACTTTATTGTTCTAGGCCTAACTTATTACATATATCTGTGAGCAAGATACTTATGTAGCTATACTCTCAACTGTTCTTTTATTTATGATAATTGTCAATGCAATTAGTACCATTGTTTTATTATAAGTGGATGAACTTTGTTTTCTGCATATTCAAATTTTTCATAAAATATACTGGTGTGAAATGTTTAAATTGGTAAGTGAAATAATTGAATTGTGCTTATCAGGAAAACATTTGAATGACCAATTGATTTATATACTTTTACATGTTTGGTTGTATTCAATGAACAAAAAGATATTTATTTAGTTATTTTGTTCACTAATAATTTGTTCTCAATTTATATTGGCAGTAAACCTTTACAATGAATTGTTACTCTCATTTACAGCACCTATTAATTAAAAAATTTGCAACTCTTTGTTAATCATAACTGTTGAATAATATTTATCTTTCACTACCATATTATGACTATAGATATCTGTCTGCACGACTTTCTAGGTGTTTTTTTCCAATATTAGCATATAAAACGCATAATTTAAATAAATTGTGTGTTCTTCGGCATAAAAGTCCTTTATCTATAAAGTTACGTATGGTTATTGGTAATGTTTATAGGTGACTTGATTTAGATGAAATTTAACTGATAAGTCAGTCAAATCATCCAACTGCTTTACTATTTATAAACAGATTAGACATTGACGAAATTTACTATTGTTTCAAGAGAAGGAATTTCTAAGCACATATTTTTCCGTAAAGACTGTTGGTCATAGTAGTGTTGAAGTTGTTACTGGCACGTCTGACTAAATAATGACATTATTGACGCCAACAGAAACCTATCGATTGAAATGCTAACAAAAACTACGGGAAATTACAAACTATTACTGATTGCTGGTAATACATTACAGATTAACTTCATTTGCATCGTAAAATTATTGGTATTTCTATATGTCTATTTATTAAATTGGATGTATCATCCATTGGTCAACTGTTTTAAGGCGTAGCGTTTTCACAAAATTTCTACTTTTCAGTATTCTATTGATGCTGAATGGTATCTCTATGGTTCTTCCTTTCTTTTTTATAGTTCTGCTTAAATGGTTAGTATGTATGATGAGTAAATCGATTTTATTTTTTTAATTCTTGTTCATAACATTCTATAGTATCATTGTTTATTCTTATTTATGTCAAGTTTTTTATTACTGTCAGGTAGCAACGCGAATGTCAAGAAAATTAGTACTGAATTTTTCCATGTATTGAAATCCTAACCTCACCTAATGTTTGATCACTTGTCTAATCCAATTAAGTGAATTTTATTCAAATCACTAAACCAATATTCTTGACTTAAAGAACACAGCTGTTTTACTGTTGAAGTTGTTTCATTATTATTAATTTGATTGCTAATTGGGTTCACGTAGTTTTCCATAATTTTGTGTGAACGTTTATTTTACTGGTTTATTTAAACTCCTTAAAATAAGACTGTAGTTCAAAGAACAGATCTCCTTGTAGACATTCTAATCTCTGTTCGTTTACAATATTATAAGCATTTAGCTGTAATGAAGCGAAACACGTTAGACTCGTTACTATTTTAGGATTTAGAGGATTAATACATAATTTACTCAAGGACATCATCAGCTTTCATTGACTTCGAAAATATTATTTGATGTGTAGTCGAAAATTATTGAATACTGTTTCTATCTGGTTCACCCGCCCTTATCGTATATTAAATAGTATCACTTCAGTCTCTCAGTAATATACGTCAAATTTGTTTATTTGGCTTCATAATAACATTACCCATTTATACTTTCAGTTTTTACGAGGTTCTACACAAAATAATGTACTGCTGTGTTATATTTGTCTATTGTTTCCTTCAATGAACAGTGGAACAATGGTTGATCATTCAGTTGTTCGACTTAAGTACAAAGTAATGTCATTTACCGTACATGATGGGTCAGCTTTAGTTGTGCTATTGAATTTAGAAATCTCACACGTATTCACATACTTTTATTTCGAACTTATCACATAGTATCTAAGATTATAAAGTATCTGAAATGCCTAATCAAATTCCTTCCGTACCCAGATATTAGATACTTTTTTTGCTGTTTTATCCAATGCACATTAAAATATTATTTCTGTAACTTCTGTTTCAACTAATCCATATGTATGTTTCTGGTTTCATCTTTTTACTAATATCATTTCAAGCCTTACATTCATCCTGCTGTTCACGCGTTTGAAAAATTATTTAATATAGTTAATCGTCGCAATGATACAGCATACATTGTTTTTTTAAACCGGGATCATTTCCTCCTGCCTTCAGTTGATCCATTACCTGCAAATATGAAACAGAAAATAACGTTCCTACTTCCAGCTCATTCTGTGATCAACGGTAAGTTAATATAATGTTTTTCATTGGTTATAAAAATTTTTTAGCATATTTTTCAGCCTCGTGCATTATTAGTTAACCATCTTAACCTGAAAAATTCTGAAAGTCTAACTGTAGTGTCATTAGTATAATCTTATTTTATGGATAATACTACAAATAATCCTTATATAAAAAATACTATCCACTTTCCAATCCTTTCATGAAAGTTTAAATAAGTGATATTTTTGGCATCATGCTTGTTATGAGGCATAAAAATATTCGGTTTTATTTCACTTGATGTAATTTCATACTACTGATGAGTTCTAGGATGAAATGGAATACGTATCTAGTGCTCTTTGGTGTTCAACTGTTCTGCAGTTAATGTTTTTATTTATGATTAATAGTAACCTTAGAAATCTACTTGGCAACTGTAACACCATGTTTCATTAGAATCGTATATATCTTACTGGTATTTATATAAAACTGAAAATATTTTACTGTTTTTACATCATTTATCAAATTTAAATGTATTCATATTTATTGGTTGCTTAAATCTCGTTGATACTTAGAACTAAATTGATCAGTATTTTTTTGTTATATGTGCATCGTGTGCAGATATTGTCGTTAAGTCACAAGTCTTATAAGCAGAGATGTATGGTATCTAGTTGTCGGATCTGAAACGAGTGTTTCGTCCCGTTCGAGACTCATCAGCTGGATGTAACTGCATTCCCAAATAAATCATCTTTTCGGTTGACAACAAATGAGAGGACGAAAAGCGAATGTCCGGCGCTTTAACCGGATTCCAAATCAATGGTGCGCATGGGCACCAGTATCCTGCGGGAACAAATGGCGTATGAACCAATTTTCGGTCACCGGCTACCATGGGACTGCGTCTCCTTACGATGCTCCACTGCCTTGTGGATTAGACCTTTAAGTCAAAGGCTCAGGGAGTGGCCCCCTAAGATAACTACCTGCTTCGGTCTGGGCACCCGGGCAGCATCGCAGCCCACACGCAATTAATGAACTGAAATTGTGTGGCGCATATATATTTGGCGCACTCCTGTACCAATATAAATGTGTTCAAATAAAATAAAATAAAATAAAACTCTACAAAATGAGAGGACACCGTATGCTCAACACTACTTTTATGACATAGTAACTAAAGTAACATTTTGGATGTAAAGTTAAAAATAAGTGTGAATAGACATAATATCCCGATAATAAACTGTATGATGTAGAAACAGACTAATTCATCTAGATGGATACTGCATTCATGCAGTATTCTTATTGTTATTATTATTAAATAACATTGCTTGGTTATTAATTTTCTTGATATCTTACTCTTTATATTGTTTTGCCTAAGATTATACCTAAATTATTAGCGTGTACGCATATTTTTATTTTTCGTTTATTTCATTTTTCCACATTGTTAATCAGTACATTGAGCAGCCTACCACTTTATATTTCATGAACAAAGGGTTTAATTCTTCTGCTTTTTACTTACTCCTGTTACTCCTCGTGAAGGAGCATAGGCCGCTCACCAGCGTTCTCCATCCAACCCTGTCCTGAACAATCCTTTCCAGCTCCTTCCAGTTGTTATTCATCCTTTTCATATCTGCTTCTATTTCCCAACGTAATGTGTTCTTTGGCCTTCCTCTTTTCCACTTCCCTTCACAATTCCACGTTAGGGCTTGCCTCGTGATGTAGTTTGACGATTTGCGTAGTGTATATCCTATCCATTTCCATCGTCTTTTCCTAATTTCCTCTTCAGCTAGAAACCGGTTTGTTCTTTCCTACAGAAGGCTATTGCTGATGGTATCCGGCCAATGGATGTTGATTATCTTGCGTAGACAACCATTTATAAATACTTGTACCTTCTTGATGGTGGTTGTAGTAGTTCTCCAAGTTTCAGCTCCGTACAATAGAACTGCCTTGACGTTGGTATTGAAGATTCTGACGTTGATACTAGTTAAAAGTTGTTTTGAGTTCCATATGTTCTTCAATTGAAGGAATGCGACCCTTGCCTTGCCAAACCTCGCCTTTACGTCTGCATCTGATCCTCCTTGTTCATCGACAATACTTCCCAGGTATGTGAAGGATTCTACATCTTCCAGAGTTTCGCCATCAAGAGTGATTGGATTGCTGTTCTCCGTATTGTATTTGAGGACCTTGGTTTTTCCATTGTTTATGTTGAGGCCTACTGCTGCAGAGACTGCTGCCACACTGGCTGTCTTTGTCTGCATCTGTTCGTGTGTATGCGATAGGAGGGCTAGGTGATCTGCGAAGTCCAAATCGTCTTATTGGTTCTGAGCTGTCCAGTGTATGCCGCGTTTTCCCTCGGATGTCGAGGTCTTCATAATCCAGTCGACACCAGAAGAAAGAAGAAGGGAGAGAGTAAACAGCCTTGTCTGACTCCGGTCCTTACTTGGAATGCGTCTGTCAGCCGTCCTCCATGCAATACTTTGCACTGTAGTCCGTCTTATGAGTTCCGGATAATTTTGACAGTCTTCTCAATAACTCCATAGTGTCGAAGAAGTTTCCATAACGTCCTCCTATCTACACTGTCAAACGACTTTTCATAATCAATGAAGTTGATGTATAATGATGAGTTCCACTCAACTGATTGTTCGACGATGATCCGTAGTGTTGCAATTTGGTCTGTGCACGACCGATCCTTACAGAATCCAGCTTGTTGATCTCGAAGTTGGGCGTCTACTGCGTCATTACATCATTTTAACATCAATAGTTTAACGTTTTCGATTTGTATTCTTCACGGACTTAGCTTATATTCTCATCAAAATAGATTTATAGTATTACTGTCTTTAGTTGTGTTATATGTTGACGTATCGTAATCTTGCAGTATTGTTGATATTTTCAAGGTTGTTTTTCGGTTTGTTACGTTTTACTTTCTCTTTCCCTGTCGCATAGATTATACTTTTTTCGTTACTGTTTGCTAAGTATCATATTTCCAGTTCGCAAAAGAGCAAAAGAAATGGTATATTTACTATCTTTGAGTCTGATAAACTAATGGTGAGAATATAATTCATGGACGATGTGTGAGGGATGCTTAAGTGACCTTGAAAATATCCACTTGCTAGGATTAAGTGAGGGTTATAAATTAGTGTGAGGAATTGGGATTTACATTTGGACGTTGGAGATTCCATCACGAATGGACATCAGCTATTCTACCGAAATGCTATTTATCTATATGGATAAATGAATTTTGTGTCAAAATCCATGACTTTCTATTTTAATTCTGGTTGGTTGTTCTATAGATTAATGTCTCACCATAGAAATAATGCTGTACTTTGAGTGTTAAAAATGATTTTTAAAACTGTTCAATATTTAATACGTGTTTACCAATGATATTTTTAGCATAAAAAGACGAAATATTTTTTGCCGAAAATTTTTAGCATTTGTAGCTCTATGTTTAGATTTATTTAGTCTTTAGTAATAGTGGTGAATTTGTCACTGGTGTCCTAAAAATTATAATAATTAATGAAAGTAAGTAATAAATAATTAGTGGCAGAAAGAACAACAACAGACATAGCGCAGCAATTACCTTGATCCATCAAATAAAATGTTTAATAAAAGTTTAGATCTAATGCATTATTATTATCACTAAAGTCACCATTAAATTCATTGTTTGTATTTCATTATCTCTTGTGAAACTTATTTATTAATGCAGAATTTCTCAGAGCTATGATAAAAGGTTAATTAAAATATGAAATATTACTTTATTCCTTCAACAACAACAACAAAAAAAGAAAATCCAAATAGTATACATACTAAATTCTTTAGATATTTTCTATCTCCTTTATTGATTCAATTAGATAATAAGATCAGTGTTTGTATAAACAACAAAATAAGTTTAATTTCTTCTTTATCCCACCTTTATGTTACTAGAAGAAAATAATTAACCTTAAAATAATTGTTCTATTCTGTATTTATGAGTACCATAATTTTATGATATCCCTATTAAATTAATCTGTACACTATTTTTTACCAACACATAATGTAGATGATAACCTTTTTGGTCAACGTATACATTATTTCTTTCTAAAAACATTATTTACTTAAGAGAGTTTAATAAGATTTCTCTACATATCAGTTTGTATATAATTGTTTATGTCGAACTTTACCTAAAATTATTATACATCGTTAAAGTGTTACAACAAAATTACAAAAGGTGTCTTAACATAAGGACAAGAGAATTTTTCGATCTGAGTGGCCACAAAATAAAATATAAATTGAGTATAAAAATGTACAATTTCCCCCTCTAGATTAGTGTACATTTTAAATTGTATTTGTTAAATCCGGATGAGAATAAATGAATGGTAACCGTTAGGAATTATTTATGGCCTAATATTATACAAATATCCTTACTGTATGACCATTAATGAACTATATTTTATATATATTCATATTCCTTTCACTATAAGCTTTTGTTTGACCTATTGGTTACTGTTATATGATTTACTGTTATCGAGTTATTCTCAGTCTATTAGTCGCAGTTTCTCACAATCACAGCCACTTTTGGCTTGGTCTTGTACGAATGCTATTTCCTATTTTATGGTGTGATGTGGTTTGATTTCGCTTGTGTATAAACCAAGTATGTTTGAAACACATGATTTGTACTGCGGAGGCTGAGATTGGCGTTCTGGACTTAACAAGTAGGGCTAGGCGAAAAAGAAGCAATCGGAACTTTTATTTATTTATTTATTTCAACACAGATATTGGTACAAAGAGGCACCAAATACATATGCGACACACAAATCTCATTCGATATGTGTGAGGGCTGTTTTACTGCCCGGGTGCCCAAACCGAAACAGGAATCGGAACTTTAGTCTGCTCGTGCTGGAGTATGAGTCATTAGTTTAGTCGTATAAGTCAGCGTATCTAAATTGGCATTCGTATTTTGCGATAATCAATTAGCTAAGAATATAAAAGTATTAACTTGTAATGTGTAAAACTTAATTATTCCAATGGTCAAATAAGATCACAAGATAGACAGACATCATCATCCATTGCGAAACATTTAATTGAGACGGGTCATAAGGTTGATATCAAATCAGTATTTGTTGTGTTGTACAAAAGCCTTCAAGGACGTATACTAAGGTTTATTGAAGCCTTGGCTATACGAAAATTGAAACCCCCTTTATGTGTTCAAAAACAATTTGTACTTACACTTAACCTACCCTGGTAGTACTGATTTACTGTCCAGAGTGGTAATCACATTTGTTTTTATGTACTTTAATATTTTTCCTTTGTTATGACTTACCCTTAACCTGTCTAGTTAACCTTTTAATTTTTCATATATAAATGTTCTTAACAAGTATATGTGTGATCAGATTGTTCGAAATGTATTGCGCAAATATATCACATAATTCTGATAAACTACGTCTTCTCATTGCATTATCGAAATTTATCAAAGGGACTAATTGTTTTAATCATTTTCTGTTAACTTTAGATCATGCTTAACACATATCTGCCTTATTAAAAATTATCATAAACTTAATTGACTCAAAATAAGATCGTTTATTAGGTATATATGAACAGCTGGCCAGCCTTCTTTTTGGAGATACCCAAGTCAGAGCTACACGTAAAATGACAAACAATAACAGTCAACCGGTATAACTAATAAAATTCAAAATCATTTCCTGAAGTGTAACACATCCAAAAAATGTTTCCCAACGGTTTGTTTCTTAAGTGTTCATATATATATAGTGTCTTGCTAGCTGTTATATTATTGATGTTCATCTTATTTTTTATGCTGTTTTATTTAATGGAAAATAGTCTTGATACACTTTCATTAAAAGTTATACTTGATTTAAAGTGTTTACCATTTCTATGCTATGCTTGCTAAGAAATCTGGTGCAACGCAAACTTTTATCATATTATTTTAAGAGTTAAGCGTCTTTTTTTAAAGCATGAAATGTTTTTATATATATGTATTGATCATGATTATGACCAACTTCTCACTTGTCTATCATAATTTATAGGTAATTCATTGGTTAGTGGCCAAAATAAGTTAATACAAATAAAAGTTAAGGCGTTACCTTATCTTTTATTGTTTACATGGTGGTTTCATTTGTAAGGGTTTCTGTTAACCTATTTTTCTACAGTATTTTAAATTTGTGTAACGTTTCATTAAATACCTATTTCATTCAAACAGTAGTCGCTTTTTTCAGAAACGTCTGTTGTGCTCAACAACAAATATATAAATAAAAAAGTTCACAGGCTTTGTTTTATTCTTCCAATAATCCTATTAGTTAATTTTCTTTAGAAATAACTAATATATTTTCAATGAATTCTCGTTACTTTTCTGCCATTCAAATAAGTTTAAAATGATTAAGCCTTCCGCAAATCAAATAATTCATTTTAACAGTCGTATTGAACATATTATTTAAAAATTCTATATGAATTATTGAATGCAGGTTTAATATCTTGAGATGGTGGAGATTTGTAGCTCAGGTAGATGATTTTGATGGAGTTTTGTTCTCTGAGCTGGATGGTTTGGTCGTGGAGCTTTCATCGTTCTTCTGAACGACATCATCAACACAAACTTCAGGTAGAAGTGAAATGTTTATTATGTTCTACTACATACATTTGGTGTCCGTAATCTTTAACCGCTCGAATGTATACACCTTAATCTACGCATTTATGAATGTTCATAAACATTGATATGTAGAGAGTAATTACGATGTTTTAGCAAAACTGTCGACTTCTTTTTAGTTTTTAACATAACGTCATCACCTAGGTAATTGTTCGAATTTCAAGTGCACAAAACAATGTCCGATTCTCACTCGTCTTTTGTGTGAATAATATCTCCACGTTCCATTTATTTATTCCTTAACAATTTAATGTAAATACAACTCCATAAAATGTTTTCATTTTCCTATTTCTCACACCTGTGTCATATTTTTTCCTAAATTCGTGTTATAAACCATAAAAGTAAGAGCAATTCATTCACATAACATCTCTCGTTTCAATGAATTCATTTCTATAAGCTGTACAATCTCAAATATATACTTTTTTATAGTGATAATAAGTAATATATTTGTCAAAAACATTAATTTAGTAAGCATAGAGAAGAAAACCTACTAGGAAATTGAAAAATCTTATTGTTGGGATCATAAAACTCAATAAAAACGTAAAGAAGTTAAAGAGTAATAGTTCAGTAGGGGTATTGTATAACACGATAAAATAAAATATTGGGATGAAATATCATCAGGAGGTGATGGAAACAAAACAAATTGGTTAAACGGTCATTGGAAGAGGGTAATAACTTTGGGAAACTAGAGGTTGAACAGATTTCTTTTGTGTACAGTTTTGGCTTAACTAGATGCATAAAAAATAATCCGCCAACCCTAAGAATACATAATTTCGCTGTCTTTGATGGATTTGTGTTTCCCTTATAAGTGTCTTTCAACCCTAAGTCTGTTTTTGATTGAACGATTCGTGCTCTTAAGTTGTTCAACTATAGGGCTCCTTACTCATCCATCTTCTTGGACGGAAGACTCGTGAACATGGTTATAAAAACGTAAATATTGATTCTGTGAGCTACAACGATAACCGCTTATTGAATCATACTTTCATGTCTATGAACCATAAAAACTCATCTGAAGTAAATTCAATTAAAACTGAAATTTCACTCTTAGTTGTACATGAGCCTCAGTTGATCAGTGACTTAAAAAGTTTTATTAATTATCATTACATATTAAATATCAAATCAGATCTGCTTGACATGATCAATATTTAGATAGTTAGTGTTGGCAACAGTTTCTTTAATTATCAGACATATGATCTTATCTTTTGTTTTAAAAAAAACCTCTATAGGATCGTCTGTTGATGGTGAAGATAATTATTACAATAGTTCAGATTCCATTTTAACTGTGCTACAATTAGATTGTGAAATAACGAATGCTACATTATTACAATCACCTGTATATAATTCTCATGAAAAACGCTCACCTAATAACCATTAATCAATTATTTATTTAACTCCTTTTTTGAATCCATCTTTTTCAGCTTTCATTTATATTCGTAATGATTATTTTGTATATTTTTTCCTTCAGTGTTTTCATTGTAAACTATTCAACGTGTTCATTGTTAATATTTCATATCTCATTTCACTGAATAAAGAAGTTGGTTGTTTTTTTCTTTCTTTTCGTTTTACCATAACGTTACTTACATTTCAATGATCCTAATTTATGTTATTATAGTCCGTGTCCATTTATTTATGATCAATTATATTGTTCTGTTTTACTTCTTGTATTATTGTTTCTTTCCTCCTCCTTGTCATGATCAATTTTCTGTGTTGTTTCTTTTTTTTTAATGTTTATTTATAATAAAAACCATTTTCCTTTAAGAACACAACCATAATAATAAGCACTCAATTCATCTTCAATTTATTCATACTGTTTAACATATTTTTCTTTGTAATTTTTAACTAATGTATGTTAGTTAATTGAGTGCAATGAAAAAAATTGAGAAAATAAAATTTTGCTAATATTATTTATTTTCTAAGTTAATATGTAGTATGTAAACACTAAACTATTGTGTCATTTTAAATGATAAATGATTATTTCGTATCGTATCTGTTTCATTTTCTGATGTTTTCAATTTATTGTTTAAACAAAACAATATTGAGTTACACTGCTCTGTATTCATGGAGAATTGACTAAAAGTCAAGTGTACAGTAATCAGTTACATGCTTTCAAAATAATAAATTTAATCGGAAAGGGGAATTCCTTCAATACAGACATATAAAACACAGGAATTTGAGTATAGTATGAACTCCAACCAGGAATTCTGCAAATTCCGACAGCTCCAACCAGCAATCTGACTAAATTTGACCAATATAAGCGCTTTCCGAATCTTTTATGTTAACAAGCATTGTATATCATCGTAGGCGGTGGTTAAGCAGACGTAGCATTTATAACTTAGTAAATGGATTTCGTCTTTTTACAATGCTGTATTTTAGCATTAATTATTGGTTTTTCAACATGTGTAGGTATCCCTACGTTCAAAATAGTGAAAAGAAATGATCATTTGGTCCACAAGTCGAGGGTTGAAGTCAGTCTGTTTTTTTCTGGTTTACCTGTCCTGAGCTCCAACCTACGGTCAAATGTTTATGGATTTTATATTTTAAACGCTATACTAGTCATAATTAATCACTTTCTGGATAATACGAAAGGGATTTTTTCCTTTCTACTAAACTGAGAATGTCAGCCATCGAGATTAATCAGATAGAATTATATCTAGCTTCCAATTAGTATTATCGATCTAACCGCTAAAACCAGATTATCATATCTATAAACATCCAGAGTTAACCTGTCAGTTCTTGTAGATCTTTTTCACTTCAAATAAGATATGGTGTTTTCAACCTAGCAAAGAGCTGATAGTCTTGTGTTAATCTCATTCAGGTACATGCTTACGGTTTCCAATTCAAATAATTGCTTGAATTATATGTTAATTGATTATAACCTAAATCAGGTAATTGAAAACATGTCACCGGATGAAATTGTTTTTGGTCGCTAGAGGTAAAAGAGGGTTATAATCTATGTTCAGAGAAATATACAAACACTAATAACAGAAGACACAACTGGTACTATTGGTCATTAATAACGACACAGATTCATACCAATGTTCCTAAGACTACTGACAGCTTTCATTTAACAATAAGTTACGCTGTTCAGCAAACTGTGCGGTTATGTGGGTCAATCCTCGTTTATAAATTTGTTACAAATTTAAAAAGAATACACTTATTATTCTATACCAGGCAAATATTTTAATTATGTTTACAACTTAATAATGCTTTATTCGAGTATTGAATTTACCGCAAAACTTGAGAAAAATTGATACCTAGGTATCTTCCAAATATATGATAGGGTCTGCCAAAGTTATACCCTTCGTAAACAAACTTAGCCCTTACAAAACATCCCACAGATTTTTTACGACAAGCCATGAATATGGTTTTCACATCGCACTATGATGGAGTCAGAGAGCTATCCCCGACAGATACTTGAAAATGATTGTCAAAAGATAGAGAAATGTATTCAAAAAGATGAGCTGCTGAAAACTAAGTAAAAAATAGTGTTAATGGACCACAAAAGAAAAAGAATATATCAATCCTATTTTGTTAGAAAACTAGTCATATGGCTAAGAGGATTAGTCGACATTAAGTAGATTAATTTTCACAGCTAAAGGATTTGAAACTCTTGCAATGAAAAGTTCAAAGAGAAATGCGAACAAGAACGTATAATATGTGAAGTCAATCATGAAAAATCACGTGATAAAACGGGTGAACTCAAAGGACAGAAATGCATGTATATAGTCCTTTACAAAACATATCTCAGACGATAAAGAAGTCATCATAGCCACTTGCGCGATATTAAACATGACGTGAATCTAAAAAAGTGAACAAACAATCCAGTTTTATTCCTAGGATTGAGAGAAATCATAGTGGTTTGAAATGTTTGGATGACATAAATGGATTATGTCAACATAGATTATTAGCTTCAACTATAAATGTTCTCTTCAATCTCCATATATTTTTTATAAGTCTATTATGTGTTGGCGTGATACAGATTGGATTGAAGCATGTTCAGTGCGGTATTGAAGTACGCTGATTGACTATTTCTTAACCAGTCAACGCTAGCGGATACTTGGGGAAAACTAGAATAATCTTGTACAAAAATCATAAAATACACTAACGTTCCTGCACAATAGTGTTCTGATTTGGAGACTTGTCGAGTGAAGTAGTCCAGAAATATTAAGCAATGAAAGCTTATATGAGCGTCATAACATTATGCCATAAGATTACTCTCTCCACTGTTCTAAGGCTATGACCATAACTTCATAAATTTAAACTTCGTTCTGGTTCTCATGCTGAACGAACGACTGTTAGCGACAAACAGTCCATTTTCCAGGTCTGTTAATATCTATTAAAATATAGATCATCATCAGGAGTATCGAGTTAGGAAGAAACAGCTATTCAATGTTCCTTAGTATTCAGCGGTCTTCCAGCTTAACAGGGCTTGATATAGATAAAAACAAAGCAAAAGAGACTTACCAAAAACATTTCATCAGTAGAAGAAAGCTAAGTACTAAAAAATGTTTCTCAGATAAACTATCAAACCTTTCAAAGGTTAAACGTGGTAAAATTGATTGCAAAGTATAGATTTTACACAACGAATTGTTGAATCTCAAACATATTAGCTGATTTGTATCTATATAATCCCAGTGTTAATTTCTGATATTAGGATAATCTAAGACATACATGTATATATCCTTTGCTTTAGTTTGGGTGGATGGTTTTAAGCACTAAACATAGAGCTACACTGAATCGACCACTTTCTCATATAATGAAATTAATCATACACTAACTGAATGTAAAAAAGTTTATTTGAAAATGAATGTCTGAAAGTAGAAACACTCTTCAGTGATCAATACAAAAAATGGTGCTACTGGGTCATATTTATATACTCGTTTAGAAACAAGAAATTTAGCTTAGTTTTCAAGTCATAATTATACATCTATATTAGTTAAAACTCAGGTAAAGCAGATTCCAAGAAATACTTTTAAAGAAAATTAAAATCATGTCTACCTTAACTATGCATCACAGATATTGTAGCTATTAAGATACTTGTATAGCAAGCGTCACCAAATAAATAAAAGTAGGTGTAAAATATTTGAGTTTTTGGTTGACTAAAATGTGTCACACAGAAATGAAACACTTCCTTCTTAACTTATTCCAGTATTCAACTTGACTATTGAACGATTTATAGACATTACCATAAATGGAGAAGTGTTATCTAGGTTACATACAGTAGTAGACTTAGGACTTAGATATTCCCAAGACTTGTCGTTTACAGAACATATATTAAAACAAACCTCTAAGTCTCAACGTCTAATAGGTTACATAACTCGAAATCTTTACAACACTGAGTCACGTATTCTAATGTACAAAGTTTGTGCTCGACCTCTTCTAGAATATTGCACGTTTATTCTTAGCAGTGCGCTCATAAAGGATAAATTAAGGCTGGAATCAGTACAGAGACGATTTACACTTCGTATTCTTGGAGCTGATTGTACCTTAACTTATAATTCTAGATGTAATAACCTTGGGCTAGACCCTTTATGAAGGAGGAGACTCAAACTAAATCTTATCTTTTTCTTCAAACTACTTCATAAAATATCGTTTACATCCGATCACGCGATTCAATATGCAGAAACCTCTCATTATGACATCCATAATTCCTTGGCACTAGTGAAACAAACTCATTCTAAATCATCTCTTTATATGAATTACTTCACCTGTAAATTTTCTAGACTCTGGAATAACCTACCACAATCTATCCGCACGATAAAATCACTCCCATTATTTGTTCGCTGCATCGATGCATACTGCTCCTCTGAAAATGCATTGAATGGTCTAGCGCCTTTACGTGTATCTCATTCCACAAGTGATATTTTAGGAACCTTAAATGTTTAGCCGTCTTTATTAGTGAATTCCCTTAGTAAAACCACCCACTTGCTGTCAATATGTTAACACCGCCCCTACCAGCTTTAACTAATTTGAATAACATCAACAGTACATCACTGTGTCACATGACACGCATTTAGGTAGACCTGATTGATATATTTTGGTAATTACTTTTTCGTTGTTCCGTGCTCTCTGTTTTCGTTTTAATTTCTCTAGTTGTAGATAATTATCGTTATTTCGATCTGGCACACGAATTGACCTAAATCTGGTAATTGAAAACATGTCACCGGATGAAATTGTTTTTGGTCGCTAGAGGTAAAAGAGGGTTATAATCTATGTTCAGAGAAATATACAAACACTAATAACAGAAGACACAACTGGTACTATTGGTCATTAATAACGACACAGATTCATACCAATGTTCCTAAGACTACTGACAGCTTTCATTTAACAATAAGTTACGCTGTTCAGCAAACTGTGCGGTTATGTGGGTCAATCCTCGTTTATAAATTTGTTACAAATTTAAAAAGAATACACTTATTATTCTATACCAGGCAAATATTTTAATTATGTTTACAACTTAATAATGCTTTATTCGAGTATTGAATTTACCGCAAAACTTGAGAAAAATTGATACCTAGGTATCTTCCAAATATATGATAGGGTCTGCCAAAGTTATACCCTTCGTAAACAAACTTAGCCCTTACAAAACATCCCACAGATTTTTTACGACAAGCCATGAATATGGTTTTCACATCGCACTATGATGGAGTCAGAGAGCTATCCCCGACAGATACTTGAAAATGATTGTCAAAAGATAGAGAAATGTATTCAAAAAGATGAGCTGCTGAAAACTAAGTAAAAAATAGTGTTAATGGACCACAAAAGAAAAAGAATATATCAATCCTATTTTGTTAGAAAACTAGTCATATGGCTAAGAGGATTAGTCGACATTAAGTAGATTAATTTTCACAGCTAAAGGATTTGAAACTCTTGCAATGAAAAGTTCAAAGAGAAATGCGAACAAGAACGTATAATATGTGAAGTCAATCATGAAAAATCACGTGATAAAACGGGTGAACTCAAAGGACAGAAATGCATGTATATAGTCCTTTACAAAACATATCTCAGACGATAAAGAAGTCATCATAGCCACTTGCGCGATATTAAACATGACGTGAATCTAAAAAAGTGAACAAACAATCCAGTTTTATTCCTAGGATTGAGAGAAATCATAGTGGTTTGAAATGTTTGGATGACATAAATGGATTATGTCAACATAGATTATTAGCTTCAACTATAAATGTTCTCTTCAATCTCCATATATTTTTTATAAGTCTATTATGTGTTGGCGTGATACAGATTGGATTGAAGCATGTTCAGTGCGGTATTGAAGTACGCTGATTGACTATTTCTTAACCAGTCAACGCTAGCGGATACTTGGGGAAAACTAGAATAATCTTGTACAAAAATCATAAAATACACTAACGTTCCTGCACAATAGTGTTCTGATTTGGAGACTTGTCGAGTGAAGTAGTCCAGAAATATTAAGCAATGAAAGCTTATATGAGCGTCATAACATTATGCCATAAGATTACTCTCTCCACTGTTCTAAGGCTATGACCATAACTTCATAAATTTAAACTTCGTTCTGGTTCTCATGCTGAACGAACGACTGTTAGCGACAAACAGTCCATTTTCCAGGTCTGTTAATATCTATTAAAATATAGATCATCATCAGGAGTATCGAGTTAGGAAGAAACAGCTATTCAATGTTCCTTAGTATTCAGCGGTCTTCCAGCTTAACAGGGCTTGATATAGATAAAAACAAAGCAAAAGAGACTTACCAAAAACATTTCATCAGTAGAAGAAAGCTAAGTACTAAAAAATGTTTCTCAGATAAACTATCAAACCTTTCAAAGGTTAAACGTGGTAAAATTGATTGCAAAGTATAGATTTTACACAACGAATTGTTGAATCTCAAACATATTAGCTGATTTGTATCTATATAATCCCAGTGTTAATTTCTGATATTAGGATAATCTAAGACATACATGTATATATCCTTTGCTTTAGTTTGGGTGGATGGTTTTAAGCACTAAACATAGAGCTACACTGAATCGACCACTTTCTCATATAATGAAATTAATCATACACTAACTGAATGTAAAAAAGTTTATTTGAAAATGAATGTCTGAAAGTAGAAACACTCTTCAGTGATCAATACAAAAAATGGTGCTACTGGGTCATATTTATATACTCGTTTAGAAACAAGAAATTTAGCTTAGTTTTCAAGTCATAATTATACATCTATATTAGTTAAAACTCAGGTAAAGCAGATTCCAAGAAATACTTTTAAAGAAAATTAAAATCATGTCTACCTTAACTATGCATCACAGATATTGTAGCTATTAAGATACTTGTATAGCAAGCGTCACCAAATAAATAAAAGTAGGTGTAAAATATTTGAGTTTTTGGTTGACTAAAATGTGTCACACAGAAATGAAACACTTCCTTCTTAACTTATTCCAGTATTCAACTTGACTATTGAACGATTTATAGACATTACCATAAATGGAGAAGTGTTATCTAGGTTACATACAGTAGTAGACTTAGGACTTAGATATTCCCAAGACTTGTCGTTTACAGAACATATATTAAAACAAACCTCTAAGTCTCAACGTCTAATAGGTTACATAACTCGAAATCTTTACAACACTGAGTCACGTATTCTAATGTACAAAGTTTGTGCTCGACCTCTTCTAGAATATTGCACGTTTATTCTTAGCAGTGCGCTCATAAAGGATAAATTAAGGCTGGAATCAGTACAGAGACGATTTACACTTCGTATTCTTGGAGCTGATTGTACCTTAACTTATAATTCTAGATGTAATAACCTTGGGCTAGACCCTTTATGAAGGAGGAGACTCAAACTAAATCTTATCTTTTTCTTCAAACTACTTCATAAAATATCGTTTACATCCGATCACGCGATTCAATATGCAGAAACCTCTCATTATGACATCCATAATTCCTTGGCACTAGTGAAACAAACTCATTCTAAATCATCTCTTTATATGAATTACTTCACCTGTAAATTTTCTAGACTCTGGAATAACCTACCACAATCTATCCGCACGATAAAATCACTCCCATTATTTGTTCGCTGCATCGATGCATACTGCTCCTCTGAAAATGCATTGAATGGTCTAGCGCCTTTACGTGTATCTCATTCCACAAGTGATATTTTAGGAACCTTAAATGTTTAGCCGTCTTTATTAGTGAATTCCCTTAGTAAAACCACCCACTTGCTGTCAATATGTTAACACCGCCCCTACCAGCTTTAACTAATTTGAATAACATCAACAGTACATCACTGTGTCACATGACACGCATTTAGGTAGACCTGATTGATATATTTTGGTAATTACTTTTTCGTTGTTCCGTGCTCTCTGTTTTCGTTTTAATTTCTCTAGTTGTAGATAATTATCGTTATTTCGATCTGGCTTACGAACTGAGCTTAATTACACCGTTCATAAATCAACAGGCTGTCCATTTAAGAAATATTAAATATTCCCGGCTGATGCATTGGATCGCTGTAATATATGTACTACTTAAACAACTACTGAACTAGTATACTTAAAACTTTCTTCTATCACATGTTTGTTCTGTACATCTAATGTTACTATTTATACTAAATTGATCATGCCTGTAAACTGGCGTGAATTTTGTAATTATTATTTTCCAGAATATAAATTATTATTATAAATAGGAAAAGCTAGGTACAGCTAAATTTAGGATAGATAATAGGACTCTAAATATTTTATGAGATCCAAACCATCAACCCTCGAACCCGGATAAACCCATACAAATGACTGATAAAAAAATTTCATACATTTTCACTTTCGACATATTTGAAAATAATAATTGGCACTTTCTAATAACATGTGTAGGAGTTAATGTTTTACTTAATTTAACCAAGTAGTCATATATTATTTCTTTATTATATATATGGACAGAAATCAAATATTGTTTAGTACGGGCGGGCTACTGAATTTTTTAAATATTTTATCTCTTACGTAGGATTCGTTTCTTTGAGGGATATTGTACACACAATGAAAGACTCAAACAGGAACGACACGTCGTCTAAAAACAATCAAAAGGCAACCCGACACGCTTCTATTTATGCTGAAAATCCCCCCCCATTTTAATCTGATTCACTATCCCAACGTCCTATAGAGATTTTAGGTACCGATCACAGGATACTAGAAAATTACATGTATACTGTTTACAAGCATAGATGGTGACCAACTGTTCACAGCTAATATCCGCAGATGATTCTGATCCTCTCGTTTACAACCAAGCCATTTTCATTCTTATGATTTAGTTGCGGCTCGTATGATTCTAAGTTTTAATTCCTGCGTAAGATTTATTAGTTTCCTCAAGTTATAATTAAAATTGACTGAAAATTCAGTTTGTAACTGGATTATGATCAATTGAAACAGAGCTGTACTAGTTCTCCTTATTCCGATCATTAATTTTTTTAACCATCAAAATCTTTGGACTGACTTTCTATGAATCGATATGATTGCTTACTTCAAATTACATCCATACCACCTCTTATTATTATTTATCACATCAAATTATCGTTAAAATACATTTTAATCGAGTTAAGTCTGATTTTGATGCTTATGATTGTAAGATCCAAGTACAATAAAACCGCATACAACAAATAATCTCGTGAACTCAGTTAGTTATAATTGACTTTCATTTTACAGGTTACTAATTATTGATACTTTTTATTTAAAGAATTTTTAAGGTACACTTTCTACATCTATAGTAATTAATTACATATTGTTTAACAATTAAAAATCAATTCCAATGCTAATTACCACATATTTTCTAATCACGATAAAATCATTAATAATTCAACTATTCTATTAACTTGGTGAACCGTGATTTTATGTTGCACTCATTCTAGATTTCATCGACCAGCTTTACAGATTAAATTGGTTTTTTGAACTATATAAATTTCTTTGAAAAAAAAACAAATTTATTTCATCAATTTAATGGATTAATTCAATATTTAAGGGTTAAACAAACATGTTTATTAGTGCTCCGTAATCATACTAGAATAATAAAGAAACACAAAAGAGAGAAATAAACAACTGTTGAACTAAAAAACAAAAAAGCAAACCAATGAATAGAATCAATGATAATAAATAATGATGAATTATTATCTTTCGTATAAATTAATATAAGAGAATTAGAATTAAACTGAGAAACGATATTATAAAATAATATATAGAAACGGTCATTCCTATTTAAAACTACTATTGTACAATACCAATGGATACAAAGATCAGTCCAATTATACAAAAAAATTATTAAAAAAAACAATAAACAAGTTTAAAATCAAATTACAGTTGGGTTTTTTCGAACAAAAAAAAAGAAAACAGATCAAAACGATAAATAAATCATAATGAAATAACCAAAGGAAAATATTATCATGCTTGTCACGAATATAGTTTTTTTTTCGAGAAATAAGTATCAAGTAAAAATGTACATACTTTCCTAAATTTTTTTTCAAACATTAACCAAACCGCCTAATAGATACATATGAAAATAAACAGTTGAGATAAATTAGTTGGTAGTTGCTTTAATTGTATACACAATATTGTATCCCGTACACACATACATTTGTGCACTAATATAAATTGATGACATGTATATCATAAAATAATTTGATTTCTGGCGCTTTGTGATAATTCTTTATGTGGTAGAACTATACAGTTCAGAACAATAACTTCAGGAGGAATTTCCACATTGGAGCCTAAGACGAAAGTAAATCAGGGAAAAAAGTTATGTAAATTTTAAAGGAATAAAAAAACACCTACATTATTAAACAGAAATTACATTATGTTTCGAATAGGTATTCTAGTAATTGGATCTTTGAACGTAATCATCTGATCTCAAGTGTTTTGGTACAGCCGAAAGTGTAAAACGTTCTCTCTCATTCTTAAAATGCTCTCATAAAACCCCGTGGTCATAGGGTTTATCTTCACGTGCTGAAGATGTATTTGACGAAAATAATAGAGTAGAAAGTGAACTTACGGCCTTAAACCGAGTTGGTAGATGTAAAGCGTTCGCCTTAAGGAGCTGGAAAATCCTGATTTTCAACTAGTGTAGAATGACCAACAAGAAACTGGAGACGACAGCTATTTCAACCAAACTTAGTCACTGGCTTCCATCGGGTTGCATGCACTGTGACCCCCTAGGAAAACTGATTTTTTCGCTTGAGGCTATCAGGTAGCATTTCATTCTACTCACAAATATGATAATCGATAATTACAGAAAAATGATCGATTTGCTTTCCTTTATTACTAGCTAACCCGATATTTGCTGTCTTACTTACTTACGCCTGTTACTCTTAATGGAGCATAGGCAGCCGACCAGCATTCTCCAACCCACTCTGTCATGGACCTTCTTTTCTAGTTCCATCCAATTCTTCTTCATTTTTCTCATGTCTATTTCCATTTCCCGGCGTAATGTGTTCTTTGGTCTTCCTCTTTTCCTTTGGCCTTGAGGAGTTCACGTGAGGGCTTGTCTGGTGACGCAGTTGGGTGTTTTCCTCAATGTGTGTCCTATCCATTTCCAGCGCTTCTTCCTGATTTCTTCCTCAACTGGGATCTGGTTTGTTCTCTCCCACAGTTGGTTGTTGCTAATAGTGTTCGGCCAACGGATCCGAAGTATTTTGCGTAGACAACTGCTAATAAACGCCTGTATCTTCTGGATGATGGCTTTCGTAGTTCTCCAGGTTTCCACCCCATACAGTAGAACTGTCTTGACATTTGTATTGAAAACCCTGACCTTGGTGTTGGTTGACAGTTGTTTTGAGTTCCATATGTTCTTTAGTTGTAAATATGCTGCTCTTGCTTTTCCGATCCGCGCTTTCACATCTGCATCAGATCCACCATGTTCACCAATGATGCTGCCCAAATATGTAAAGGTTTTTACATCTTCCAAATCTTCTCCGTCAATTGTGGTTGGATTGGTGCATGCTGTGTTGTATCGGAGAATCTTGCTTTTCCCTTTGTGTATATTGAGACCTACTGCTGCTGTAGCTGCTGATACACTGGTCGTCTTCTGCATTTGTTGTTGCGTGTGAGATAGGAGGGCCAGATCATCTGCGAAGTCTAGATCGTCCAACTGGATCCTTGATGTCCACTGTATCCCGTACTTTCCAGTCGATCACCAGGAGAAAGAGAAAGGGTGAGAGTAAGCAACCTTACCTGACACCGGTCTTTACTTCGATCGAGTTTGTCAACTGTCCTCCATGCACGATTTTGCAGTTTAATCCATCATAGGAATTCCGTATTATATTGACTGTCTTCTAAGGTACGCCGTAGTGTCGAAGAAGCTTCCATAGTGTTGTTCTGTCCACGCTATCAAATGCTTTCTCGTAGTCAATGAAGTTGATGTAGAGTGATGAATTCCATTCAATTGATTGTTCCACAATGATCCGAAGAGTTGCGATTTGGTCTGTACACGATCTATCCTTACGGAATCCTGCCTGTCGGTCCTGAAGTTGGGCATCTACGCAGTCCTTCATCCTGTTTAACAATACCCTGTCGAAGACTTTCCCTGGTATTGAGAGAAGAGTGATGCCCCTGTAGTTATCACACTTGCTGAGATCGCCTTTCTTCGGTATTTTGATCAGAAGTCCTTCTTTCCACTCTGTTGGTACTTGTTCCTCATCACAAATCTCATTGAAGAGAATGTGGAGTATCCGTGTAGTTAGTAGTACGTCTGTTTTCCTTGCTTTTCACTGGTCGTTCTGCTTTGCGGCGATTTACAGAGAGTTTCTTTGTTATGTCATACAGTTGTCTCATGTTTCCTTCTCTTGCAGCCCTTTCCGCCGTCATTGCTAAATCTTCCACATATTTACGTTTGTCAGTTCTGATGCTCCTCTTCACTTGTTTGTTTACTTCTGTGTATTCAGCTTGTGCCTTGGCTTTTTCTGCTCTTGTTCGACTGGTATTGATCGCTGACTTCTTGATCCCCCTTTCTTGGATCTTGTCCAGTGTATCAACAGTGATCCATTCCTTGTGATGGTGCTCCTTGTGGCCCAGAACCTCATGACATGTTGAAGTGATTGCCTCTTTTATCTCCTTCCAGTTGCTCTCCATAGTAGTTCCTTCTCCATTGAGTAGATCATGAAAGGCCTGGAACTTGTTGCTGAGGCCTATCTTGAATTTGTTGAGTTTGTCAGTATCCCGAAGAAAGGCCGTATTGAACTTTTGTGATATTGTCCGCTCCGTTGTCCAGTTCATCTTGATTTTCAATTTAATATTGGCAACCGGCAAGTAATGATCTGATGCTATATCAGCTCCTCTATTGGTTCTCACGTCCTCCACCGTCCTCCTGGACTTTTAGTTGATGCAGATATGGTCGATTTGGTTTTGCGTGGTGTGATCCGGTGAAGTCCATGTGGCTTTGTGAATGCGTTTATGCGGGAATATAGTACCGCCTATGACCAGTTTATTGAAGGTACATAGGTTTGCAAATCTCTCACCATTTTCGTTTCTTTCTCCCAGTCCATATCGTCCCATGATGTCTTCATATCCAGTGTTGTCCATTCCAACCTTGGCATTTAAATCTCCCATCAGAATGGTCAGGTCCTTTGTTGGGCACTTCTCGACGATTGACTGCAGCCAATTGTAGAATTGATCTTTAGCGTCTTCATTGTAGTCGTTGGTAGGCGCATAGCATTGGATGACGTTCATTGAAATGCCCTCTTTCTTTGTTTTGAAGGAGGCTTTGATCGTCCTTGTTCTATGAGATTCTCATCCTATAAGTGCATTTTTTGCTTGTTTGGACAACATCAATGCAACTCCTTGTGTATGTGGGGCATTTTCTCATCATGGCCGGAGTATAACAGAAGCTCCCCTGAAGCTAGTCGTTGTTGTCCAACTTGCGTCCAATGTATTTCACTGATCCCAAGCACCTCTAGGTTGTATCTCCTCATTTCTGAAGAAATTTGGAAGACTCTCCCGTTCTCCCACATTGTACGAGCATTCCATGTACCTAAACAAATGGTTGCTCTGGTTGTCAGAAGGGACATCAGCCTCGAGACTTTCGAAGGAACTCGGCTTTCATCATGAGGCGTCATAACTCTTCTAAATGAAGACCTTCTGACTCACAGGACAGAGTTTGAAAGGTTTGAATAATTTTTTCTGGTTAGCGTTGTTTTAGCGAGTTAGTTTTCTACGGGGTGGGGACGCTAACCCCATGCCCAACCCTCCTCCTTTATCCGGGCTTGGGACCGGCAGTAGCCCCCGGAGGGACTCCGGGCTGTCTACTTTATTTAAATGTATTTGTTTCATGTTGCTTCATTTTTCTATTTTGCTAAACTTCCATTCTGTGTTAACCTTTATACTTTAGCACATCAAAAGCTCGTCTCTGTCAAGTTTTTTTCTTAAACGGTTTCAGATGACTGGATAGTGACTTCATGAATGCTGTCACTGCATACGAATTCATGAATCTAAGTGTACCATATAAACCTGCCTCTCCTATCTGACAGGAACCATTCTTTGTTTATTTTAACAGGTATGTTTCTCCGTGTTACACACTATTCTTGTTCACTAGTTTTCTATTATACTCCCCTCCCTTCATTTAATTAGTCTCAATATTATTTCTTTATTTGTGTAGCAAACATATTTTTCAGCTCCTAGCTGTGCCAGAACTTATTTGTATTAGTTATTAAGTATAGTAGCTTAATATTTGACCATTCAGCACATATCCTCTTTCAACAGGACTTTAAAAAGGCGCTAAATACTTATTTAGAATAAACATATTGTTTTAAAATACACCCGGCTTCTAACCAACTCGCCGAACAGTCAACAGAACCAAAAATAACTTCACCTATACGATTGCGTAATGCATATTTGAATCGATTTTCGATATCCCCTTAGTCTCCAAAAACAATGTAGGTGGATAGTGGTTGGTACATACAGTAAATGCGAGGAGGAATGTTAATTCTATTATAAGTAAGCTGGGTGACGTGATATATTTCATCAGATGTAATAGTTTTTCTTGATATATGTCCATTTGAATTTTTCAATTATGAAGTAGGATGCTCCATCTAAAACCCTGTGAACGATCACAGCATTATGACAAAATTCAAAGTACTACTGAAAGATGACCGGTTTAGAAATGAGATTAGATTAATGTATTGGTTTGGCTGACAGTAAAACTAAATGTTGTAAATTTCGGCAAACGATATCCTGAGACGAAGAGTGTACTGAAAGGAAACTCGGGAAGCATTTAATAGCCATGTAACCAGTGCATTTGAGACTGTCAATTGCAATGGCCTTCAGATCAGAGGCGAATCTTAGTATCTTCGGATAGTTTCGCAGCATGCATACATACATATATATGTTCGAAAAATAACTTTAGAATTTAAAACAACTAGTCGCTTTGATAAATTTGGATAATGCGATGAGAAAACAAAGGTCACCAGAAATATGTAACATATTTGCGCATTTCGAGCAATCTGGTCACACATATACTTGTTAAGACTATTTATGCAACTAGACAAATTAAAAGGTAAGGGGAAACAGAGATAATAATAAACTACGCAATGTGAAAACCACATTTGATAGTAACTTTAGAATCCCTGCCAATTTCTAGACTCGGTCAAATTGGTATGAATAATACACACAATGATTATCATTTACATATACTCATTTCACACACATAGATATTGATCTAAATTAGATAATATTTAATCTTCTCTACTTATTATTATATTACTTTTTATATTATCTGTTATGGCAGATCATAAATATTCATTATCCATCGATTGTAATAATAAGCAGTAGATTAGACTTACCAATCACAGTAATGGATGGATTTAGTTGACCTTTGACATTGAAAACAGGTAAAACTTCAAGTTTGGTAAATTGCTTATTAGGATTAGGATCATTGGGTGTACCTTCGACACGAGCCCATTCCCCAATAACTGTATTCCATCCAATTACTGCATTCAGGCAACAAGCGTGTGCACGAATCTCAACATCCCTGAGTACAATGCATTCTCGTAGACGTACACCTGCTTGTATTACAGCTCGTTCACCTATACTTACGTTGGGTCCTATCTGAAAATCGATAGAAAAAAAACCATAATCATAAAGAGAACTAGAGTTAAACGTTTAGCAGATTAAAGTTTAACAAAAAGAAAATATATCAATTAACTCAGAACTTAAAAATTAATCTTATGAAATTTTTAATATAAGTATGTTGAGAATTATATGATACATTAGTACGCTTACACTATTTTCTAAACGTTTTGCAAACAAGTATTTCCCGTTTAAACTACTAAAACCTGAAAATGATCTTTGGACATGATTTGAAACGAAAACATTAACTCCCTTACTTTAATGTAAAGGTTATAAGCGACAGGGCAGTCAGATGAAAAAAATAACACTATCGCTATATATACGGGATCGTATGCTTCTCGAATGAAGCATGTGAGTCAGTAATAAAATAGCAAAATAAATAGTATCGACTAAGAATAAGCAGTTAGATAATTATGTGGACCAGATACCATTACTATGTCATAGATGTATCTGTTTTCAGTTTCCTTTAAATAATTAGCTTTTTTATTTGTTAAAATTTATAAGCGTTTAAAATAATTAAAAATTTTATAGTTTGAACGAATATAAGGTAAACAAATACCATAGGGATTCCCTTCAATCATTAAAAACGCCTAGCAAAACACAAAAAAGTTTGAAGACTCTTAAAGTCACAAAACTACTCTGAAATTATTTTGATGGAAGTGAATAAATAAAACCACATCAGTATAGGGTGGTGAGACTTGTTGAGTTTTTGATAGAGATCATGAATCGAACAGTGTTAGACCCTCATTGAAAACCTGGAAGCACTGGACAGCCATTTCGTCCTAGTATGGGATTCTTCAGCGGAGAAAGTCATATGGAGAGATGCAGATTTTCTGCTTAAAATCTAAAACCAATGATTAAAAATGTAATGATCTTGCTCGAAATCACTTTCAATGATATCGATACATTCATCTTTTATCTTGCTCTAAAGCATTAGCTTAGTATAACATTACACTTTATATCCTTTATTCCGATTCATTACTTTTGAAAAAAGATTGCTTATCCTTAGGCTTTTACTCACATAGATATTATTGTTCCTATCATCTACCTTTTATCTGGTCTATTTCTTTCGTAATGAATCGTGATATGACAACTTGAACTGGTACTCGTACTAGTCTTTATTATCGTCCATGACTAATCGGATATTTCTATTAACTTCAATAATGAAATCGTTATGCTACAACTGTTTTATTTCTATGCATGTATGCTGGTGAAAATATTTTCAATAGTATAAATTTCAAAAGGTTCTTTTATATTCAAATAAACACAGTATGACTTTTGATTCACTGCTTAATATCATTCTAATATTATGATAAGAATAAATCACTTTTCGTATCACATGTCTACTTACAACAGCTGTTCGGTCGATTGAAGCAGTTGGATGTATGAATACATGACCAATTATGATCGGTCCACAAATCGACGGTTGGCAATTGCCATTCATCACAACTAATGATGAATTAATGGGATCATCTAACATTTGTAGGTTTGATGAACTTGGTATTGACATTTTAGCAAGTCTATGAGGATGGGTTCTTTCATAAAGTGACAATATATGACGATTAGCGTAGATTACAGCACTGAACAAAAATAAAATGAGATAATCAGTTATCAAGATATATGACAAAATTTCTGAACTTAAAAAATATAATACCAGGTAGTAAGATTGAAGATAGGCAATATTAAAAAGTAATAACTGGGAAACAACGGTCACATCTAAATTTACATTTATATATTAGTTGAAATTTGTATAACGATTAAAGACATTTACCAAACAAATAAATCTCTGTAAACTTATTTAGAGATTACTGTTATGTGGTGCAACTGAACTTCACGTATAAAGTAACAAACACTCAGCTTTAGTTAATGTGACTAAACTGCAAAATTAAATATATGAAATTGATGCGCCCTGACACAGACTACCTGGACTTAAATTTCAATTGGAATATAGAACTAAATAACAAGTTGAAATAAGTGTATTTGGATTACGACAGCTTCTCATCCCTGTTTGGTGGAAAACGTATTGTTAAGATAGGCTCATAGATTCAATTTGTCTATGGAATATCCACAAATTACAAAACTACGCAATTAAATCAATCAAAACAATATAGTAACGATATTTAACTACAGAAAAGAGGTTAATTATGTGACTCTGTAATTACTACTGGGTATCTATGATATTTTGACCTGACATTAAATGATTAATCGGAGTTTAGTTCAGTCCACGTTTAGTCGACATCTAACTAGTTATCAGTGAAATGATACGAAAAAAGTAGTGTATTTTCTTTATCTTTTTTGGTGATTAAATAAATTTATGTTTTTTCTCACTTGCATCGAATTGTGTGTTTCTTTTTTAGAAAAATGCCTTGTTTCTAGTCAAGGAAAGTGTAATCAGACTTCTTGTTCATAAGCCGTCGATAACACAGAAGTTGGATTATCATGAATTGAAAAAGCTAACCCATCTAGGCCATATGTATATAAAAATCAGAGAGTACTAAGATAAAACTTTGTATCATTTAGTTTCGTAGGAGATATGTTAATTTGCTTAGTCAGAGGAATTATTATGATGTCAGTCTATAAAAGATCAACTGCACAACATGTTGATGTGAGTAGTGATATTCCATAATAGAGAATACAACAGTCGAAATAAAATGCTTAATGTGCATAATTACTACCATAATTATCACCAACTCAACATCAGTTTCTGAAACCTATTGGATTTGTTTGTGATATTTTCCATTACATAAACACTGAGTAACGGTAAGTGATGTGTTATTCTTCAACTGAACAAGGGGCATAAGGAACCTAGAGTTTCAGTTCTTAACACTAGTGGATGATTACACGACTAAATCGAATGTATATTCCAAACAAAAAAAATACTTCTAAGGTTGTCAGATAACAGGAGATATAAGTGTTGTGTGTTGTATCAGTTTCACTGTGCCTCCAAAAAATACGCCATTTGATTGCTTTTTATATTATTGATATTCTGGCGGAAAGTTAGTTCTGTTGGTGACAATAAGAAAATACAATAAATTCAGTTTTCTGAAACAGTCAATGTGTATGCATATTAAGGGAGGAGTTTTGATCAGAATAAAAAATATCTCACTCAAATCTGAATGCAATACAAAAATTTGGCTCAGTGATAAATCATTAGGGTACCACATTATGTGTTAAGTAGGTGAAAAGCATTGTAATCTACACTAACCATAATGAAGCTTCTCCCAAGTATCTTAACGACGTATCAAACATTAAACTTCAAATAAAAATTTTACAACCATATAGTTTACTGGTTTAGCATGTCAGTTAAGTGAGTCATGTTGAATTCCTTTTTCCATATACATTAAGTGGTTGAATGTGGTCAACAAGAAACCACCGACCTAAATTACGCGCTAGCTGGCACTCGTCAATGAGGCATACCTGTAATTTTTAAGACGTTGATTTCCCCTGGTGGATTTGGACGCGTGTCATTCAGTTTCACAGCCTAAAACGCTACGACTGAGCGTTTTGATTGACCTCCTGTATGACTGAGATATGTACATTGATTGATCACTGAGTAATGGTTAATGTCATATTTGTCTAGCACTCACAGCTGATCAAACTACATCGAAAAGTGTGTTGAAATATATAATTAAAGCTGGAAGTAACTAAAATTAGCCACAAACATGTAAAACCCATCTTATGCAAATGATAATAATGGTACTTTTATGCAAAACATTATACACCAACAAATACAATTAATAACGAGTTATAAAAGATTACCACATCTAAGAAAAACTAGTATTTTGATGTGTTTTTCACAAAAATAGAGAAAATAAACAGATAACTTCTTAAATTTTGTTACCCAGCAAATTTGATTTGACTCCAAAACCGATTGGTATGATAAACAAATAAAGTCCCACTTCCAGCTAACGGTTGACATATTTCTCGTTCTAAATGAATAGTTTCTTTGCATGAAGGTCTTAAATCGTAGCTAGAATTGGATATGAGAGAAACAGAAAAAAAAGACTGACCAAATCAAAGTATAGCTTTTCATCAATAAGAAATCCAGTACACAAGACATGTTTATTAAAGGTTACAGGACAACAAGAACAACAGTACAATAATAATCAACCATGTACAGTCAAATACGTGTTATATTGTATATATAATAACGAAAGTTAGAAATGGTATAAACAAGTGAACATTTAGAAATGATAAACTGTCACTTTTGTGATTTTCGAGAAACTAAACAATAAACTTAGACACCTGGACAATTTCGATTTTTCATTAAGAAAATAATACAGCAATTGCTCCATACTTAAATACATTTTGTAATGATAATAGAATGGATATTATATTAAATAAACATAAAACAGTACTCATCCTTTATAACTACTTCAAATCATAATATTCGCAGTAGTTTTGAACTATGCGTTACAATAAAACGGCACCTAATAGAAAGTATCTAGATATTATTGAATCCTACTATATAACGCATATATATCATAAGGATCAACAATCATTTCAATCATTTCGAGTTATCTATCGTATACCTCCATCATTTCCCGACGGAGTCCGTTCCCGTCTCCTATATATAGCTGAAGCCATTGGAATTCGTACATATAACCCCAATCTATGTGTACAGAAGAAATACGTGACTCCCCTATCCCTTCCATGGCCAGTTATAACCTAACTAACAATTTTTATTTTTTATTTTTTTTTAATTTCAAATTTTATTATTATCATTATTTATTTTATTCTATCTGTGTTATTGTTAACCTTATTTCCACATCCATTATTTGTTTGTCATTATCCGCCTCTTTGTATTCTTCACTATCTAATTATTTACACACATCTTATTACGTAATGATTTTTAATGTTTTGTGATTACTATTCCTAGTCTATTTACCCATGTTTATTTGACCTTCTATTTCCAACCATTAACTATTGATAAGAGCTTTGTTATTGTAGTTTATTATTCTTACCACTATCTGTTCACCTGTCTTCGTACTATCAACTTGTACTTTTACCTATTATGTGTAGTGACTTATTCTATTTCATTGTGATTATTGACTCATATTGCCTTGATTGGTTTAACATTTTCGTATAAATATTCATGTATATTAGAGTAAAGCCTGATGACGATCTAATTGAAAACAATTGTTCGCTTATATGTGTTGTTCTAATTTTCACAATGGGAATCTTTAATATATCAAAATGTGTCGACAACCAAAAGAAACAAGCCCGAAAAAGCCCCAAACCTTCGGATAATAATAACTCTGTTGTTACTTCAATTTCCCGGTTTTCGTGCCATTCTACCCAAAATAAGGAGATTGGCGCCTATACCCAATGCTCACATATTTTGATGTACCAAGTATGTGTTCGACCACTCCTAGAATATTAAATGTTTGTTCTTAGTAGTGTGCGCATAAAGGATAAATTAAGGTTGGAATCCGTATAGAGACGATTTACACTTCGGATTCTTGGAAGTGGTTGTGTTTTAAATTATAAGTCCAGATGTAATAAACTTGGACTCGACCCTTTATGGGAGAGGAGACTCAAACTAAATTTAATCTTTTCAAAATACTTAATAAAATATCCTTTACATACAGTTAAGGAATTCAATATGCAGAAACTTCTAATTATGAATTCCGTAACTCCTTGTCATTATTGAAACAAACCCATTCTAAATTGTCTCTATATGAATTACTTTACCAGTAAATTTTCCAGACACTGGAATAATCTAGCACGATCTATATGTAAGATAAAATCACTTCCATCCTTTATTCGCTAAAATGATGCCTACTGCTCCTCTGAAAATGCATTAAATGTTCTAGCACCTGTAAGAGTAAATGTTTAGCCATTCTTACTATTGAATCCACTAAGTAAAACCACCTACCTGCTGTTACTTTACATTAACACCAGCACTGGCAACACTAAATAATTTGAATAATATCTTTAAAAAATTGCCCTTTTTGTTACGTGCCCTCTGGATCTGTTTTATTTCCTTTAATTACAGATGGTTATAATAAATTCGTTATGGCACAGTAAGTAGCTTTAAATGCACTGTTCATACGTCAACAGTGTGCCCATTTAAGAAGAATTAAAAGTCCCCAGCTAATGCATTTCATTGCTGTAATACATGTCACAAATGTACTACCTAAACAATTTTTGAACTAGTAAACTTAAAACAATCTGATATTACATGTTTGTTCTTTGCATTCAATGTTACTATTTATATCAAGCTGATCATGCCCGTAAACAGGCATGAATTCTGTAATGGCTATTTTCAGAATATATTATTATTAAGACAACTATCACCACTCTATAATGTGATTCATAATGTTTACGAGTCGATTCGTGAATTTAGCTGTGGAGAAACAAAAAGTCATAATAATTTTTTGATAAGCTTAAACTGTTCGTAATGGAGAACACATTGGGGAAGTCGTATATTTTGAAATGATTTCACGGAGAATTATTAGGTAAAACTTTTTTGCATAATTAATGAATGATTGGATCATCACAATTTTATGTTCACCATACTGCAAGCTTTCTCTAGAATTAATACATATTATCATACGTTTTACCAATATTTAATTACTCTGACTTAATTATTCACACGTTGTTCCAACTTTCTACTACATTAACCTGACTTCTGCATAAACTACGGTTTCGAATTTGCGGTGTAATTCGGTCTGATAATTAATGTAATATAAACCTACGGGAGCTTCAAATCCAACAACAAAAGCTCGTCTGATGCTGTTCTCTCCCGCTTTCATCTAAATACTGAGCTAGAAGAGGGACAGCGTTGTGGAACAATAGAAGTCAAGATTGTCTCGTAACTGCTGAATGTTAATCGTTGAGAGTCGAAGCATGTTGTGGGTCTATAGACGAGAAATGACGTAGAGGAGAATAAACTCCCCACCAGTATTCTCCACCCAACTCTATCCTGGTCAACCCTTTCCAGTTGCTATTCATCCTTTTCATATCTGCTTTGGCGAATTCGCCGAAAAGAGAACTCTTCGCTGAACTAATCTTTCTTATTTAATGTCATCAAAAAATTACAAGTGTTTTAATCAACATAGCTTGATTTAATCATTACGATAGCCAAGTAAGACTACTATTTCAAGATACTAGCTACAATCAAAGACAATTGTATCGTCTTTAATTGTTGAACTTCTCAAAGGTGCACCTAGTAAATAGCAATAGGAATGGTAAAATATCAAAACAAACAAGTGCGAGATATGTAAAAAAGAGTAAAACGAGGTTGTATGAAAAATTTAGTACATGGTAAGGCCTTAATCTGTCTGATTCGGATGTAAGTCGACCATATTCTCTAACCACTAATTCCTGACATAACAAAAGTACCATACACAAAGTATGAATATCTTAATAAAAGCTCAAGCTAACAGTGAGTAACTTTACAGACTGATGACATGCATAAATTGAGTGCTTTAGGAGAACCTAACGAAAAATTTTCATTATCCATCTGAATTTTTGAGTACTCTTTCATCATTGTCATTTAAATAAGCTTATTTACGAACTTGATTTAAATCTCCTATATTTAAAAAACTTAACGAGAAAACTACTTACTTTAGTTGATTCTGATGTTCAAGAAAAGCTATACGAATAAATTTAAATATCCCAGGAGTAAATAGGTAAAGACCACAATTTATTGTTGTGCTGACGAACGTTGCTGGCTTCTCGACATAATGCATAACCTTTAACGATTTGAGAATTAAACAAGACAATGAATAAATAAAGTAATATATTTATGTACGTATATATGTAGAATTAAAAGCATTACCAATAGCTTCATGTAGAACACATCTTCATACATTACATCTTTGAGGGATGTTACCGACCGTAGCTGCTACTTTGATATAGTAGTCGACCTTGCTTCTAATGAGATATATTGGCTGGAACACATGTTCATTCTTTATCTTACCCCAAACCCTAAGCTTGTGAATTCCCCACAACTTGTTTTTGTTTTTATTTTACTAATTTATATTTTCTTTAATCATCTTCGATACCTAATCTTTACTCTTACCGCTGATACTGTTACTACCTATAACATACTAGGACTTGCCCTGACAATTTCATTTCTCTGTGCTAATGGGGCATAGCAACTTGAACTGATGTACATAGGTACCGGGTTCTACGCTGCGATTGACTAACTTGAGGGACATTATTACACATATTTTAGAAAGATATTATCCCACCTACACGAAATTAGACAACATACACACAAATGCAGCCCATTAATGCAACTATGTGGAATTGAGTAATACAGTTATTTACTAAAGTGAAATTAAGACTGAAAGAAAAGTAAATGTTAAAATCATAAATATTTTAATGAATAACCAGTTGCTCACTTCATGGGTGTTGGGGTCTTCAACAATACAACCGAACTTCATAGACTGTTGACGTGTCGCCTATTTAATAAAAGCAATAAATTAGGAAACTTTTAGGAATTTTACGATGCCCATGAAAACAATATATCAAAATTAAAAAGAATAAATCATTGCAACTTCAGTGAACCGATTAGGGACTGTCACTTCAAATTACCATAGCCGGTTGTATTTGCCAGGATTTTTTAGTACCTTAATTTTTGTTTGGATTCCCAGACAACTTGAAGTTTGAAATCATTCTCGAGTACAACAGATTTGCTGAAATTAATCACTCCTGTAAAGTGTAATTAGTTAACAATATTAACAAACCACATGTATATTGAATAAGGATAGTAAGGTAATGTAGCTTTCTAAAAACAATGAGTGATTAGTGCATACTGCCCTTACATAGTCAGTGTAGAATAACTATAGGACCCCATTTATGCTAATATAAAATGCTTAATAAGTGAATTTAAGTCATTCGAATGAATCGAAAAGCACAACTAACCTTAAAGAATCCTACACACTACTTCTCTGTTGACATTGTAATGTTTAAGCATTTCGTTTCGTTTTGTACGGCCTATTTTGGTAGCGGACTGTTTGGGAAATTTTTTATTTATAAGTGAAAATTTTTTACCATAACTGGATGAGCGAATGCTAAAAAAACAATTCTTAAAGTAGAACCTTATTCATATGAGTAATCATTTCAATAAAAAACTCAAACTACATTTAGTCTGTAATTAGTGTCGTTAATTACGACATATGAATTGCATCTTCAAAGTGTAGGTTCCTTCAACAAAATTTGCATAAGACTGTTCCTGCACTGTCTTTTTGCTTATTCTCTAGAATTGATTAAAATGTTCGTGTATTTGAGTAGTCGCAGAAGTCTAGTAATTGCATGACAGATAAAGGCAATCTATTCGTCATAAAATCCAGAGAGATTTGCGCAAATATCGGTGATTTACAGCATCGTGCTGTAGAACATATCTGTATAGAACTGGCATTTCATAGTCCATTATGACTTCCAAATTGTTATCCTAGAAGTCAGAATATAAAACTGGTTATGTTGCCGTTGTTTTCTTCTGTATTTTTAACAATGAGAACTTCCTTGAGTGTCACTATTTTAACTATAAATCACATGAAGCGTTTTTAGCTGTCCTCTCAATGTACTACTATGTCAGTTTTTACTCATACCCTTATATGTTGTCTTCCACATAGTTGGCGTGATTTTGTCATTCAATGAGTCAGAAAACAATCAATTAATTCCATGTTGTTTCCAATCAAATTTTCCCTTTTTTATTTTAAAAGCATTTCCAATACGAACGTTTTCTATCTTCCTCATCTAAAAACATACCTAACCAAAAGAATGGATCATGCCCACGGTTCTCATCATTCACCGGCCCATGCTGGTATGCAGTCAAGCGATCATTCCATGGATATGAAAGTATGACTCATTTCTATCATACAAAATGATTTATAGATGTATTTCAATACTGATATGCACTATACATTGCTTTTTTCATCCTGGATTATTGATACAGTTGGAAGTAAATGATGTTTTTCCTAAAACCATACTCTTAACTTATAGAAGCGATTGTAGCGTGTCTTGGCTCTTTCATATTCGCTATCATATATGAGGCCCTAGAAGTAAGTTGTTATTTTGTTTATGTGCTGACGTCTGTTAATTTAACCTGTCTCTGAATAGAACAGTTATTAGTCTTATTATGATGAAGTTATGGTATTTATCTCTTTAATTTTAGTAGTAGATATTACCTACCCAAAATCCATGCAGGTTGTTCCTTGAAGTCACATTACGCTACAATTAATTGCTAATAACACACAAAGCTTTTAGAGGCGATCTTGAATGTTGTTAGGAGTATGAGGGTGGTTATCACTTCCCGGTTGCCCACACCGTGGAAGGGTTCTTATAGAAGTACCTGAAAAGGAAACTGGGTTAGAGTTGGTCTTAGTGACCTGAAAGCGTACACTGCAGTCTTACGCAAGCAACTAGTTTGAAAAGTAGTAATATGTACTACAAATGAGTTTGATTGCGTGGAACGAAGAAAATATAGCTCCACAAAGGAATCTGATAAGACAGCTTTAACAAACAAAAGTGAAAAATTGTCAAACGTAGAACCTGTTATGAGGAAAAAATTATACAATTAGAATTATAAGCCAAATATTTAAGGATGATATAAACTAAAGTTTATCAACTAACATCAGTCGCCATAATTAGAAACCGATCCCCAGTACCCAAACATTTGTGAAACTCGAGCATTTCCTCAAGAGGTAAATCACAGCATACATCACCATTCATCACGAACAACAAATCCGGAGATCCAGATAATAATTGGTCACGGAATTGATATATACCACCAGCTGTTCCTAGTGATGTGAACTCCTGTAAATATCTGTCAAATTTGAATCCACAACATTTTGTTGGATTATAAATAAAAATATATAACTTTCAACAAGCAGTTCAAATGAAACTCCTACTAAAATGTATTTTAGGAATTAGGCTCGTTTTCACATAAGGATAAAACGTGAAAGTTTAGGAACCCCAACTGTAGTTTAATCTTTAAAGTAAGGATACTATAAGGATTAGTAAATATTAGTTGACTATTATAACAACATCTTCTGTCATTTGAGTGTGTTAAGATCTTTCCTTAGAAACAGTATCCTTATATTTGGTCATAGGGGGCATTACTGTATAAACATAAGTTGACACAATGTTTTGTATATATGATACATTCGAATGACTTTAATTTAAGACAAACATTTGGTTTACTTAAATAGTGTCCGATAGTTGTTCCTACCTTTTAAAAGGGTTCACGTCGTTTCTGTGACAACCATCGAAGGATAAGTCTACTTCCGACTGCGTCCAAGATATTGACTTCCGTCATACTTCGTAGCTTGTTCAAAACCCGAGAAAGATTGACTCGCGAGGAGCAGGCTGGGTTTCGTTCCGGTCGAGGATGTATTGATCGTATCTTTACCCTCCCCCAAATGTTAGAACACTGTCATACTTATCAAAGGCCAATAATCGTAGTGTTTCTTGACATCAGGGCTGCCTTCGATTCGGTGGATAGGACTGTTCTCTGGGAATGTCTATTGACGAAATATGTGCCTGAGAAGTTTATTAACATCCTAAACGCCCTATATACAAATACCTCAGGTAGAGTGAGGGCATACAACCACCTCTCTCCATTGTTCCATTCAAGCAGTGGGGTTAGGCAGGGTTGCTCAATCTCACCATTCCCCTTCAACTTTGCCATCCATGACATTCTGGAAACAGCTCTGATGGATGTAAGTAATGGTGGTTTGAATCTGTTGCCTGGAGAAAGACTTCTCGACCTTGAGTATGCGGATGATATTATCTTACTGTGCGATAACCCGACCGTTGTTGCTACCTTGATGTGGTGGTCGGGCTTGCCTATCGTGATGAAGCGACCGAGCTATACTGGCTGGAACAACCGTTCCTCAAGGTCCTACCATGTTAGACAGGTCGGTTGAAGAGTGCTAAGACTTAAAGCGACAGACCCAAGGTCCGAAGGCGAAGTCACACTGTTAACTGCACAGAGGTGTGACAGCAGTAAGGTGTTTCCTTCAGACAACCAGCATGACAGCGATGCTGCCTTCCCACAAGGAGGGGTGGGGTTAGAAAAGGTCGACCCTAAAAATGCACACCTCGCCTTATCCCACGGACATCCGTCTCTGGTGGTAAGGTCTCAACAAGTACGGAGCTAACACAAAAATTACTCATAGAAAGGTCGTGTGTGACTGACCTCCAGCAATTGTCCCTTGGGCACTGCGGTCACGATCTCAGGTCACTGAGACCACCTCTAATCCAATTTCCTTTTCAGGTACCTCCAGAACAACCCTTCCACGGTGTGGGCAACTGGGAAGTGATAACCGCCCTCATACCTCTAACAGCACTCAAGACCACTGTATTCATAATCAACCTCCGTCTTCACTTCCTACATTGACTTTCACCTCTAAACTTCCTTGTTCGGCTTCCTCCTCAAGTGTCACCATAGCCAACAATTCTAGTGCGCTAAACACTGTTCCAGGTTTACTGGAACCTCGCTCCAAACTACACATTGGAGCCTTCAACGTAGGCATCCAATGTCAAACCGGTCAGCAGGCTTCCTTGGCTAGAACCCTAGAATCTCGTACCATTGATGTAAGCTGTGTCTCTGAAACATGCATACAGGATCCCAGTGTGGTCATTCACTTGACCTCACCTCGGCAACATGGAGAGCCAACGAGATACACCCTCCATGTATCTGGTGACCCGATGGCCAGTTCTCGTGGACTGGCAGGTGTAGGCATAGCACTACGCATAAGGACAGAACAAGCACTGTTAGAGTGGATCCCCGTTAACAGTCATTTATGTGCTGTTCGGCTAAACGGCTCCGTAAGAACTCGGAAGGATAGGGACACACGTCGTTGCCTTTTCGTCGTTTCTGCCTACGCTCCCACCGACTGCAGCCCAGACGAAGTGAAAGATGAATTTTACAGAAATCTATCTGAACCTCTTCAGAAAGCTAAACGTCCAGACATAGTACTCATAGCAGGTGACTTTAATGCCCAGATAGGTAGCTTAAACCAAACAGAAAGGCATTTAGGCGGGTATTTTAGTATTCCGGCACAACGAACAGATAATGGTGATCGTCTGCTGCAACTATGCTCAGACAATCGTTTATTTTTAGCAAACACAAATTTTAAGCATAAGGAGAGACATCGTCTAACATGGCGACCCCCTACACCAAACCAACGATGGACTCAAATAGACCATATTGCCATCAGTCATCATTGGAGAGGGTCAGTAGAAGATTGTCGCTCATTCTGGAGTACCTGCTTGGACTCCGACCATGCCTTAATACGGGCACACATTTGCTTGCGCCTCACTGGACGCAAAAAAGTTACAGTAAAAAGACCCATTAGAACTGAATTGAGTAACGAGAAAACCAAAAGTAGGTTCCAGGAACAACTGAGGTCACACTTAGGTAGTTCTGCAAACGAGGCTGTCCCAGATGTTGCTTGGAAAGATATACAAACAGCTGTGGAAACAGCAGTGACATCTGTTAGCGACTTAAACCACAGGGTTACAAAGAACCAATGAATTTCTTCAATGTATATTGCACTGATGGATTCTTGTAAACTCATCCCATCAGGCTCTGAACACGATGAAGAGCGACAACAAATCAGATCTAGGTTAAGCAAAAGTCTAAGGAACGACCGTGAACAGTGGTGGGCAACGAAAGCAAAAGAGATGGAAAAGGCGGCGACTATAGGGAACACAAGACAGCTCCACAGACTAATAAAAGAAACTGGAATTAATAAATCAAGTGTAAGTCAGACTAATTCGGAAAATGACGACACCCTCATCTGCTCTAAGTCCAGAAGTTTAGAACGATGGGCGGAACATTTCAGAGAACAGTTCAGCTACTCTACAACTACCCTCCATTCCCAGACAGTGTGAATGGAACATTGAAGTAGGTCCCCCAACTCTAGCAGAAGTTCAAAAGGCTATAGTTAATCTGAATCGAGGAAGGGCAGCTGGTCCAGATGGACTGGCTCCAGAGGTCTTTAAGGATGGTGGTTCAATTTTAGCGATTAGGTTGACTATTTTAGCTAAGATCTGGGAGTTGGACGTTATTCTATCTGACTGGTCGCAATCACTTATCGTCCCAATATATAAGAAAGGGTCAAAATCATCATGTGACAACCACAGAGGGATTAGTTTAACTAATATAATATCTAAAATACTAGCCTCGATAATTATCAGACGCCTAACTAAGACTCGTGAACTGCAAACACGAGAGACTCAAGCTGGCTTTAGACCTGGTCGTGGCTGCGTCGACCACATATTCACCATTCGTCAGATTCTAGAACAGAGGCATACTTATCGGCGTCCGACAATGGTGGTCTTTCTCGACTTAAAAGCAGCATTTGACTCTGTAGACCGCGAGATTCTGTGCCAGTGTCTGTCATTGAAAGGCGTACCTCAGAAGTACATAAACCTTGTGAAGGCTCTTTACTCGATCACTACTAGTCGAGTCAGAGCTTATGGCGAACTGTCATCTACTTTTGCAACCTCAAGTGGTGTCCGTCAAGGCTGTCCACATTCCCCATTTTTGTTTAACTTCATTATAGATCTACTGATGGAAATAACTTTCTCGTCGACTGAGTTCTCGGGTATTGATCTCCTACCAGGAGGTCCACTTATCGACTTAGAATACGCAGATGACATAGTCCTGTTTGGTGAAGACGCAGAGTCTTCTGGTAGCACTGAGCAACAATGCCAGAATGTTTTGAATGCGCTTCTCTCCCTCTAAATGCAAGTTGTTGCTTCAGGACTGGTCTGCGTCAACACCTGAACTAAGGATAGGGAGTGAAGTAGTCGAACGCGTCGACAACTTCACTTATCTTGGAAGTCTGATCAACCCCAATGGGCTGGTATCGGACGAAATCTCAGCACGGATTCGAAAAGCTTGCTTGGCTTTTGCCAACTTATATCACCTTTGGAGAAGGCGAGATATCCGTCTATCAATGAAAGGATGAGTATACTGCGCGTCAGTCCGTCCTGTTTTAATTTACGGCAGCGGAACATGGCCATTAAGAATAGAAAACACTCGTAAGCTACTAGTATTTGACCACAGATGCCTCAGAAATATTGCTGGCGTCTGCTGGGATCACCGGGTAAGTAATAGTGAGGTTAGATGCAGGGTATTGTTATAACCCAGTGACGATTAAATTACAGGTAACTCTCGAGGACTACTAATGGACTAATATTCTATAAATATTCTTATTGTATATCTATTCAACAATTACATTATGTATATTTATATTCCTCTTATTATAAGCTTTATTTTGACCTATATTTTATTATTGTAGGATTTACAATTCTTAAGCCATGCTCAGTCTATTAATTACTGTCCCCCTCGTTCACAGCCACTTTTTGGCTTATTTGTGTACACATGTTATTTTCTATTTTATGGTACGTTGTGGTCTGTCTGATTGATACATAAACCGGGTATGTCTGAAATAAACGATCTGCTCTGATTCGATTCATATTACAGAAGCTGGTATTGTGTTCTGGACTCAAGTGGAAGGGCTCGGAGGACATAGGACCAATAAGGACGCTAAACTGCCCACACCGGTTGAACGTCATTGGTTGGCCTAGTGTGAAGATTCGTATAAGTCGTATTCGGATTGGTAGATAAATCGTGTGATAGAAAAACCAGACGTCAAGGTCACAACAGGTATTAGGGAAGGATGGTAAATCAGTCGATGAGGTTGTAAATCTTCATCGACTGAGATGGTTGGGCCACGTGTTACATATGCCCGAACACCGATTACCACGACGTGCAATGCTAACCGGCGTTCGGGATGGTTGGAAGAATGT